TGCACAGACACGAACAAAACGCACAAAAGCGAACAAAACACACAGAAAAAAAGGTTGCGGAACGGGTCCATAGTATGATAGTACAATAGACGTGATCATGTACAAACTAAGCTAAAAAGTAATGCGATATCTACTGCACCCCAGCCATCATCATCATGTCGAGTTGAGCTAATACATTAGTCGATCGAACCTGCGAGTCCCCAATGCTTAACATATGAGATTTCCGATAGTCGAACGCAATTCTCTGGACACCGTCCATGTTGCCAATGTAGCGCACAATGTCCTCGAATGTCTCACTCCCTTCGTGTTGCGTGAATGGCAGGATGACTGGTGGATGGGGAATCTGCTCCCGCAGCGCTAATTTCACAGCTGCACCAATAGCACCAAAGGCGTAGTTGAGTTGTTGATGTCGATGTAACGCCGAGGTGGAGAGGAATTGTGAGATACCGAGGTCGCTACACCATATGAATTGAACGGCAACATGAAAAATCAGGGGATTGTCGAGAACCCCGTCAAGTATGGTGACATGCCCGCTCTGAAAAAAGATCACAATTTGGTATTTAGAAGAAAATTGAACGTACTGCGTCGACCGTAAACCTATTCATGAAGGCCAACGGGTTACGTGTCGTTAATCAATGCGGTTATGACACGACCCCGAAATTGGACTGGTTGGAGATTGGACTCTAGCGGGGGGTAGAAAGTGTAGCCCAAGGCGAGACAACTCCGTACCATGTCCAATAGCTTCCGAAAACAGCCGTTCCAGGCGGCTGTCACCTGCTGACGTTCACTACTTGTCGTTCGGATTGTAACTACAATGAATCAGTATTCAACTCCGCAAATTATATGTAAACACGTACCATTCATACCTGGCATGACGACTCTGAAATCGCGAGAAACAAGCGCCGCCCTCTCACCATCAGTACCGGCCATTGCAGATGCCGTCAAGAAGAATCGTAAGATTCTTCTTTTTGCAGAATTGAGGATCTGTTTTTTGACAAGGGAATTGACGTTAATGAGGGCTGGTGTAGTTGGCTGCACAGCAGCAGGACCAGGAAAGATGGCAGGGGCCGCTGGTGCAACTCCGCTAGCAGTAATTCCTGGCTGCATAGCAACAAACTTGAGTGACAAAGGGACCAGTGTGCTTGGCCGTGAAGCAACAGGGGCAGCAATCGTGGATGGGATAGCGAGGGCAGCCATCGGAGCTGTTGGCTCAGGTGGCCGAAGGACCCTGGGTTCAGGTATGAAATATGTGCGGAGGGTCGAGGGCGATGATTTCTCTCAGGATGCTGTGACGACCCTGCCAGCATCTGGGGAACTGGCGGGTTGTATAAAGAGTCGAGTTGGGCGGAGTAAGGGATTACAGGGTAGACGTCATCACCGGCATCAAGTGGTTTGCTGGTGCTAGATGACGGCGCGGGGGGTGGAGCATCCATCTCGGGCGTGAGCAATTGTAGACTATTAGTTGTTGCATATGGATAGACACCATCACCAGCGTCAAGTGGTTCAAGTGTGCTAGACGATGGCGTGGGGGGTGGAGCATCCATCTCGGACGTTAGCGATTTAGACTACTTGTAGTCGTTGCATATTGTGGGTCGGTCATACGGAGGAACCTTGAAAGTGGGTCCCCTCATCATCTGCTTCAAGTTGATCTGTCAACAAGCGACTAGTGTATTACTGGCTTGGGTACTCACCGTTTAAATTCGGATTTCTATCTGCATAGTCTGACAACGAGAACCTGTCTTGAAGCTGGCCAGGGAAGTGTGGATATTCATTGTCATCCGGCGGCTGCATACTTTGCTGGAAGCAAATACTGGCAGTAGGAAACAAGGAGATGCGAGATCACGGCGAGAGAGCTGGCATAACGTGCCAGAAACATGTAGAATCCTGATACATAATGAAGACTCAATAGAATAGAGCCGAGCCAGTGGTCATATAATCGCGATCGATACCTAGCGGTCCTAATCATGAGAAGAGTGATATGCTGCTATCAGTAGTGTAAGACTGAGCACGACTATTTCACGTACAATGACAGATGGGGAATGGAGGCCAAAACTGAATTGACTCACGATGAGCATATCAGTTGGGGCGATTAAACTGGGGCGTTCACGTTTGCAGCTGATTACAGATCGATTTGAAGCCTCGAGTCTATGGCTTGGCGGGTAAGCGGCCTTACAGTTGCAATTGGGTAATACAAGTAGCCACAGATGCCGGAACATGCAAGAATCAATGACTTATATGGACTGTTTAAACGACTACATATATGGGAGCGTTCAAACGACGACATATATGGCAAAAATCAACCGAGCCTTCCATACGCCAATTAATATGTATTGTATTGATGCCATCATAGATATCATGTTAATTCTTGTTTCAGGTGATAAGACGAGCAGAGTGGAACAACACATGCATTTGACAGGTGTCTACAACATCGTAAGTGCATACAAAAATTCACAAATCGCCATGAAGTAATAGATACCTCCACATCAATAATGATCACGAGAAACAGATATTGAACATAAGACAAGAAGAGCGATTGGAGTGGTAAAAGGGAGCCTGCAACTTGCGATGAGTTGAATGGTAATACTTGAAAGGAGGATTTCCCATACCGCTGAAAGGGCGACTATCAGTCAGCTGACAACCTAGAGCCTGCGCCTTCACCTGAATCCTCAGAGTCATGATCCGAATCATCTGGGGGCAGGTCTGCGTAAGACCCATCACTCAAATCTGGATCTGAGTGTTCAGAGGGTTCCCTAGTGCCGATGCAGGAGAGTCCACCATTAGGGGTGAAGAGGAAATGCCGCAGCAGGTTTCAAAAATGCATGTTTAACACGTGAATTGAGGAGGGTTGCAACCTGGTCAGTTTGGGCACTAGCGACGCGGAGGATCTCGCATTCGTCTTCAAAGACAGCTTGAAGATATTTTCTATCATCCTCAAGTTCCGCCTGCCCACGCTGTGAAAAAATCCTCCTAAAGCCGTGCAATTCCCCATCCAGCCATCTTGAACCGTTGTTCGTTTTCACCATAGATGGCAATGAGGAATTCTTCATACTGTGCAGCCTCGTCAATTTCCCACGTCGCCAACACCATGCTGTTGGCGCGCAACCTCGCGACTTGCGAGCTTGGCCTTGTATCCTTTGTACAAGGTTGCAGTCATCATTTGAGAAAGGCCGCTCTCCAACTGTTCTTGAAACTTTCAGACCACATCAATGAGTTATCAATGTCTAGAAGTAAATATGGCATACCTTCTGTGTTGCTTCCAACGAGAATTCTGGTTGGAATTTGGACTTCATCATCCGAGCTGCATAACGAAGCTCCAATGGAGCTGGATTGGGGGGGTATGGAAAATGTTTCCTTGATGTCCGAGACTTTGATGTTTTGTCATGTGTAACAAATGTGCTCTCTTTCGCTTCAGAAGGCGTAGGTTTGCCATCCTCTGAAAGGCTTAGATATGAGGCATGTAAATCTGTATTCATCGTAATTGAAGAGCCTGATCGTTGGCTTGAATTACAGAGAGTCGGACTAGGGCAGTCAGGAGAAGACAGAACAGTGGGACTGCTCATTCGAGCAGGAGATAAAGGCGGACTATTTGATTTAACAGGAGACGAGGCTGGTGAGCTGTCCATCTTATTGTGCGAATCTTACCCTGGAACTTTGGCAATGTATTATTGATATCCGGTATCGGAGCCTGAAAAATGACATAGAGGAGATAGCATCTAGTATTAGTGAACATTCCCTCGTACCATTATGGTCCAATGCACAGGATGTTATACGACTTTTTCGGCCACTGGTTTAAGTCAACACTTAGCTAAAACCAAGAATCGATGCTGCATGGCTGTGCTCGCTGCATCACGCTCAAATGTCCACTCTCCAATACCAACTCCTTCAGATGATCTTGCGGACTCAGAAATCGAAGCTGATGATCAAGCACCTGCGAATGGAGGAGACTTTTTTGGTACTTACGAGGAAGATGAAATCCAATGGCCCGGTGACATGGAATGGTATGCTAACAGCAGTGAGAATAGTGACAGCTCGGACTCCGAGGATGATGTCGTACCTGGCCTCGATGATGCCGAATGGGAACCCCTCGTAACTGGAAGGGATTTAGAGGACCAACTCGGAACTGCCGAAGAAGACAGCACAGAGATGAATAGCCACAATCGTGATTTGCGTCAGCAGATTGAGCAACGCGTGCTTCAGGAAGATGCAATCACTATTGTGCAATACCCTGATGCTCGAGCAGGGCACCCCATTCCGCAAGCTGACATATGCAATGCAAACGCTGCATACGCTACTGTTATCAATGACACTGCAAATCCATATGCCCCCTTCGCCTCTCGAGTGGATTGGGAAATTGCACGATGGGCTAAATTACGTGGCCCAACTTCAACCGCATTTTCGGACTTGCTTGGTATCAGTGAAGTCAGTGAATGGTATTAATATCACCTTCGAGCTGTGGGTAATGTGTCTATCTTTGTTGACAGGTCCATGAAAAGCTTGGTCTTTCTTACAAGAACTCAAGGGAATTAAATAAGATCATCGACAAGCAGCTTCCTGGTCGCCCAAAGTTCAGGCGTGAACAAATTGTCGTCGCAGGCGAGGCTTTCGACGTTTTTTATAGGGACGTTATCGAATGTGTTAAGGCTCTGTATGGTGACCCAGATTTTGCCGATTTTCTAATCTTTGCACCGGAACGCCACTATGCAGATGAGGAACAAACTGTCCGATTATTCCATGATATGCATACTGGTAAATGGTGGTGGGATACTCAGGTAAGTTCGCATTTTGGGGACTTCTGCTCATCGAAAATAACTGACATTAAATAGAAAAAGCTTGATCAGCGCAAACCGGGTGCTACCATCATTCCAATTATTATTTCGAGTGACAAGACTCAAGTAACAATGTTCCGAAATAAAACGGCTTACCCAGTCTACCTTACTATTGGCAACATTCCAAAGGAAATCCGCCGAAAGCCATCTCGCCGTGCCCATATTCTTCTCGCTTATCTTCCTACTACCCATCTCGAGCACATCACCAACCAGGCTTCACGACGCCGAACCATTGCAAATCTGTATCATGCCTGCATGGGCCGTGTCTTAGCACCACTGGAGGAAGCTGGCTTAGATGGTATTGTCATGAAGAGTGGCAATGGTATCCTGCGTCGCAGTCATCCCTTATTTGCTTGCTTCGTTGGTGACTATCCTGAGCAAGTCTTGGTTACAGGAGTCAAAACCACGGAATGTCCCAAATGTGACATACCACCAGCCGAACTCGGAAGCAATGCCGCACCTTTCGAGATGCGCAACCTTGACGCTGTCCTCAATGCATTGGCTGCGATTGATAACGGAGATCTCGCATTTGTACATGCATGCCGCGAAGCCGGAATCAAGCCCATTATACATCCGTTCTGGGAGCCCCTACCCTATACCAACATCTTCCAAGCCGTTACACCAGATGTGCTTCACCAATTATACCAGGGTCTTATCAAGCATCTCCTTGGTTGGCTGGCCGAGGCATTCGGAGCAGCTGAGATTGATGGAAGATGTCGAAGGCTCCCCCCAAATCACCATATCCGTCTATTTATGAAAGGTATCACTAGCCTCTCACAAATCAGTGGTACGGAGCATAGTCAGATATGCCGTTTTCTACTTGGGATCATCATCGACATCCGACTCCCCAACCGTCTTGCCCCAAGCCGTCTCATACGTGCCATCAGAGGTCTACTTGACTTCCTGTACTTGGCGCAGTATCCTTGCCACAGCTCCGAAACATTGACTCTCCTCACAGAAGCTCTCGATCTTTTTCACAACAACAAGCAGATCTTCGTCGACCTTGGAATACGAAACAATTTTAATCTTCCAAAGCTCCATGCAGGCCGCCACTATATGTCGATGATCCAGACTTTTGGCACAACTGACAATTACAATACAGAATATACTGAGCGCCTCCACATCGACTTGGCCAAAGATGCATATCGTGCAACAAACCACAAAGATGAGTTTGTTCAAATGACTCAGTGGCTTGAACGCAAAGAGAAGATCGCTCGACATGAGAGACATGTCATGTGGCGCCTCCACGGCAATCCCATTCGACACCAACCTCGTCCAGCAAACCTGTCTTTCGACCGGGTTCAAACATTAACGAAGCATCCTAGCATGAAAGCTGTGCCAATTCAGAAGTTAATCACGGAGTATGGGGCCACGTACTTCCGTGAGGCGCTTGCAAGATATGTTGCACAGCTGCATCATCCACACGAAGCCACCACTCGTCGCCGCCTCGAGGACCTTGCTGCTGCTATCCACCTTCCATTCCGCACACTTCCTGTGTATCATATAATCAAATGGCGATCTGATGGTGCACAGGGACATGGTGACCCATGTGTCACAGTGGACAGCGCGCATGTCAAACCTCGCCGTGTGACCACCAGTCAAAAAGGCGCTGATGTCCCAGCACGATTTGATACTGTGCTTATTAATGATGGGACTGGCCGTTCTGCAGGTATTGAAGGTCAGTTTTTGATTCCCGAGGATGCTAGGCAGTCAAATGATGAATTTTCAACAGGCTACCGTGTGGGTCAGATTCGCGTAATATTCTCAATCCCGCAGAGTGCTGTTACAATGATGTTCCCTACCGCAATCCAGCCTCCCAAACATCTCGCCTATGTAGAGTGGTTCACTCGGTTTCCTCCTACAGCTGATTCGAACCATGGAATGTTCAAAATCAGCCGCTTCGTGCAATCGGGTGAGAGAGTTGCGAGCATCATACCCGTCACAAACATCCACCGAAGTGTCCATCTCATTCCAAAGTTCGGACCTGTCGCACCTCATCAATGGACCAGTAGCGAAGTCCTCGAGCAATGTGACACTTTTTATGTTAATTCTTACATTGATAGGCATACATTTGTGACGGTTAGATAGCACATTGTAACTTCATTAAAGAATGTTGAAGTTTAGCGAGAAATCATCAACCTTATCTATAGCTTGTAATATTATTGTCTTTTTATTCAAGTTTGCATAATTTTGCATATCTTTGTCTAGCTTTGTGTGGGAGGGTTTTCCTGATGTCGGGCAGCCAATTTCTTTAGCGGAAAAGATATTGCAGGCAACGTAAGTTGAAGATCCTATTCTCACCCTCCCACGCCTTCGACAGCGACAACCACTCACTAGTTGCTCACTACCCTGGCACACCAACTCACCTAATCATGACCCTTCCCACCCTTCCAATTTCCTGCCATCGCCCCACACTTAAGCAGGACCTTCCGCGTGCTCCCGCTGATCTGGCGCTGCCGTCACGACCAATTCCTCGTTGCTCTGGCACATTCCATGGCCAGCACCCTGCTTCTGCCCTCATGTGTACTTCATATATTTCCCTTCATTCAATTTCAGCCCACTGACTCTGTCACCATTCTCCAAGATCTGCGCTGAGCCCGAGGATTTGAAAATGTCTATTGTTTGGGCCCGTCTCCTCGCAGACTACGAAATCCATCAAACATTTGAATTTAGCCTGAACTTCTTGTTTGCGAAATTCACTCGGGAATTGGAGGCCTGATCTAATTGGGGCCTTCGACCTTTCTTCTATCTAACTCAACAGGGGAGGAAAGATACCATTTTGAAGAAAGTTCATTTTTTGTTGCCGTTCTTAGGACGCCCGCAGAGACCTTCATAGCGTCTCCGAGACTTGGTGAGCTAGAGCACACTTACCTCGAAGCTGTTCAATTAATATCATCTTAGTGTTGGGTGTATCTATGGGTTGGTGAACCTCGATGCTTCAACTGCGACCGCCCTGTGCGCCATTGCGAGATGCAAACTGTCAACCACGAAGATGGCAAGACGGTCTGCAGTTCCATGATTTTGTTGCCTACGTTCTGTAGCTTTTGACCTTGGTACCGTGCCGCTAGTGTGTCCGTTATTGAGACCGATGCGTCTCAGTGGCCGCATCACAGACAACGTTCTCTCCAGCTTGGCAAATTACATCAACTCCCTGCTCTCAAAGGACAGTGCTGCAAAGGAGTAGAATCTTTATTTTCAGCTCTTGGGCTACCTTCTTCGTCCACCTCAGTGTCGGTGGGCCTCATTTCGTCAACTTCGCAAGTGCTGGCTCGGTCTTAAGTACCCTTGTTCTCAAAATGCTATTATCTCACTCACGACTACGGTCAGCCACTGTTGATGTCTTCTGCGCCATCCCATTGCGTGGGAGCAAGGCTGACCGGCTAAAGGAGCAACTCAGGCCCTGACACGGGGCATCACAGTCATGTGCACATGCTAGATAACGACACTGATATTGTTGATTGACTTGGAACCGATCCGATGCAGGATTAAATCTGATTCATTCAACGGAACGGTATTATACCTAGCGCTAGTACACAATGCAACAACATAAGGGTACACGAAAAATGATATTCAAAAACTAATCGGCGGGGCAGCGAGGGAATGGAAGCAACCAGAATTACAAAAAATGCAGTTATCGACTCTAACTACACCTATGTGAAAAAAATATGATCAGCTGTTCTAGTGGAATCTTCGTGCGCAACGACTTCATAGCCCTACGCAATGCCACTGCAACCTGTGTGCAGTCCAATCTCCCTGAACCATCTACCAGTTTTCCATAAAAAGCGGACGCAACCTGATGCGCAGCCTCGTCGTCGACATCCCCCATGGAACATTCACACTGCGAAACCAGGAGAATTGCATAGCCGCAGCGAGATTGATGGACTCATCTTATTGTCCACAGTAGTGCGGCTGACCAATAAGAATGCAAGCTCCAGATGACGGTCCAGTGAGATCGGATGACGTACTTGATCATTAGAGGCCCGTCGTACATGGAAAAGAAGCCCTTAAATGGTCGTTGTCGATCTCGACTTCCTCGGCAGGCCAGGTGAAGCCATTGACTCTGGCTCAGTAATGAGAACACGTCCGCCCTAGAGCAATGTTCGCTGTCCGATAAGACAGAGATCCTGCCTTCCAGTGAATGCCAACGACGGATACCAGTTCGCCCGATCCCTGCAATCCTTTCGAAGCTGTTGCTCTCGTTCTCCTCTGCCCATGGCTATATATATGACGAAATTAGAATATTCAGGATATGAAAATGAAGCGGCCAAAACGACTGCTGATTGCACAACACTTTCGTCATATACCTTCAGTGCGGCTAGGAAGTGTGAATAGACTATACATTAATGAGAGCAAGGGGCATTAGAGAGATAGTGTGACAACAAGCCCTTATTCCGCGACCCACACTGTCTGATTCGAAGGTTGGGTTCTTGATCGATGTGTGGACTGGGATGCTGTTCTGGAGGAATGTCAACGCCGCTACCAGACACGCTGGCTGGCCCAGTGCCTGTCGTTGATGAAGATCCACTTAACTGTTGGTTCACTCAGATGAAAGACAAGGTGACCGGATGCACGTCAACAGTTAGTTATGATGACTGACTAGAAATAAATAAAATGTAAACATACCGGTATACTTTGCCAGAGTATTGCAGGCAGCGGAATGAGACAAAATAAGGTCAACGGCCGCGACTCTTTGAAAGGATATTCTTGTCAACGATGAGCTGAGGAATCCACACGACAACTGCGACAATATGAACGTTCGACATCATCATAAGAATGCACACGTGGACGTACCTCCTTCAAAATACCAGACACTAGGGAAGGCATGACCGAGGAGCTGCTATGCTGAGAACACGTCGTGAGGACAGTGTGGTCTGGGATAGATGAACATCGACTTTGCAACTTGATGCCCGCCATCCCAACCGGTACAAGCGAGAGCTGACCAGGCTTTGTATACTTCGAGGCACTGCCTTTCACCCCAAATTCCGTAGTTCATACTAAACCGTTTGCGTACACAATCAATTTCATGAGATCGTCGGAAATCACAGTACTCAACATGGCATTATAGGTGAAGGAAGGCTTGGAAGAGAACTTGGAAGTTTACTAGCAGTTGATGGTGAAGCTCAGAACATCGTGTCAGTGATTTTGGGTGAAGTGGCATGTTAAATTTGGTTCGAGCGGATTGGTGCGAGTCCTAGGAGGCAAAAGGAATACTTAGTACAGAGAGGGGGTTCTTGGAATGGGAACGAGTACTCATAAAGGCTCGGGCCCCCATCCACCGCCTCCTCTCTGTAGAAATTGTGCATGCCCTCCAGCCCGGTTTTGCATCGCGAAGACCATGTCTACATCGTACTCCAATCCTGATGGCGCTCTCGTGCGACCGTCATCTTCATTAACACAGAATCAGGAACAATTTCAGAGGAGACAAAAATACACGATGGTGCAGCATAACCAAAGAAGGAAAGTAAAGCGAAGGAGTAGGGAGATACTTACCTTCATGATAGCGTTAATTCCATGCTGCGCCAGCATCTGTGGAGCGAACTCTGATCTTCGATATGCCTCACGTTTCTTCCTTCGCGCGAGACAAAACACATCTACGTACCGGGATTTGGATGCAAAGAGCGCAATAGCAGGCATGCCTCGCTGGTGGAAAGGAATATCATTAGAAGGAAGTCATGAATGCGCAACGAGGAAAGAGAGAAGACTTACCCACATCTTCTCAACAATAGCTATGCATGATAAGCCACGCCAAATGCCTGTTGGGAGACTTTTGCGGCTTCAACGTCGGAAATGACATGTGTCTTGTGAGATTAGTTGCGTGAAGTCTCCCGAGTTCGCCGTGCGTCTGATATTATAGGTTTGACGCTCCTTCATCGAGGGTGTCCATAATGTCCGACTCGACGAGCTAACTGAAGTGTGTGAACAAGCACAACGTGCAGTCCAAGAGAAACGGGTTGAATATTGAACATGAAAACAGGAAGCTGCCAAAATGACTGCTGATTGCACAACACTTTTGCCGCATACCTTCAGGGCGGCTAGGAAGTTCAAGAGTTCGAGGAAACGCGGTTACATCATACATTAATGAGAGTAAGGGGCATCAGAGAAGTGGTGTGACGATAAGCTCATATTCTGGGACCCACGATGTCCGATGCGAGGGTTGGGTTCTTGATCGATGTGTGGACTGGGGATGCTGTTCTGGAGGAATGTCAACGCCGCTACCAGACCCGCTGGCTGGCCCAGCGCCTGTCGTTAATGAAGATTCACTTAACTGTTAGATAGAACGCGCTTCGGAAGGCAGGAACTCCGTCACACAATTAGTAGCGGGTTTGAGACGTGAGGGGAAAGAGATTTTGCCGCATCTGGTGGACACGCGAATCTTGGGATTCGACGAAATGAAGAGATGATATTGCAGTAAGGTGCACGTATGTGTTCGGAAAGTTACACGGTGATGAGTTGGAGGAACTGTTAACAACAGAAGCAACAATGTTGATGTGGTCATCTAGGATGGATGGTTGTCGACCAGATACGAGCGCCAGGAAGCAGCAACTGCACTATGATGCGAGGGCATACATGCTGGAAGACGTGGAGATAAGAGTCAGACGAATGTATACGACGCTGAGGCGGCGGGAGGCTGTCGAGGAAAGCAAATGTGACAATAGGGAGTATTCGTGGAAGCGAACCACATTGTGTCTTGGGCGTCTATGGAAACGAGGCAAATTAATGTAGTGAAGTAACGTAAAAACGCATAATACACGCACCTCTGCAGCTGAGATACAGACGCCCACAAACCCTCCAAAGTCGACCTCGATCGTGCTCAACACTACTAACCTGTAGTAAAATGACGAACCTCATTCTAAGCAAACCACTTCGAACTTTCAAAGGTCATAAGGGACGCATAACCGCAGTCGCAGTTTTCCCTGATAGACGAAGAATGATTACGGGGTCGACGGATAAGACACTTTATCTTTGGGACTTGAAGACAGGTGTTGTGTTGAAGAAGATGGAGGGGCATAGCAGTGAGGTGTGGGCATTGGCGGTATCACGAGATGGGCAAATAATAGCAAGCGGTGATCAATATGGAGGGGTCATCGCTTGGAACGGAGAAACAGGAGAATCTCTCACCCAACCCATCAAAGCCCACTCCCAAAATGTCTACTCGCTGGACTTTTCCGCGGATGGTACGGTGTTGGCCACTGGTTCAAACTTGGACCACACGGTCAAGCTGTGGTGCACCAAAACATGGCAGCAACAAGAAAATCAAATTGATTGTGAACGTGGTGTCTACCGGGTTCTATATTCGCCGTCTGGTGAACTTCTTGCAATCGCAAAATTTAGCAAAATCGAAATTTATAATTCAGGCACAAGGGAACACGTCGCAACCTTGAAGACTTTGAACCGCTCAATCGCGTGGACGCCCGATGGCACACGCCTTCTGTGTGCCGGTCATCCCGATGACGCCATAGAAGAGTGGGATACATCAACCTGGGAGAAGGTCGGTGGTCCCTGGAAGGTCAATATTAACCCGATTAGCGCCATCGCCGTCAATCCTGCTGGAACGCTCGTCGCTTCCATATCTGAAGAGAACAATGTCCATCTCTGGCGGCTCTCAGATCGACGAAAAATTGCCATCTTCAAGCGCTCATCCACTGACGATCAGACATGTATCACGTTCTCCGCAGATGGCAAGCACATCCTCAGCGGAGGTTGGGATAAAAAGATCTTGGAGTGGGAAGTACGCAAGGGTTTTCATTCAAAGGCGAGTCTCCATCCTTGACTCGTGTCACGCAATTCGAGCATGCTTCATGCAGATCCTCGGTACTATCACGATAGCCCGTGATTCATGCATAGCTGGGGACTTGTCTGCCGCTGAACAGCTACTTACGCAAGAGATTGACGCCAACGCCAAAAACTATATCTCCTATGCCAATCGCTCATTCGTTATGGCGCGAAAAAAAGACTGGGACCGCGCCCTTGAGGATGCAATCAAGGTCAGTCATACAGACCAATCATGGCCCTCTTATGAAAGGCTAACTTTCAAATCTGTGACATAGTCCATCAGGATTATGCCCTCCATGACAGGCTATATCTCCAAGGCCATCGCCCTCTGCGGAAAAGGCAATGTCCTGGACGTGAGGGTAGCATTTGACCTCGCAACTATGTTCACGAACCAAAATTCACAAACCATCCATTTTCTTCTCTTGATCAAGGTAAGTTAGTTTCATCTCGCATGCGCTCTGCTCCATTCCGTATTTCAGGCCATTGCCCTCTTCAATGCAGATCAACATGACGAGGCAATGCTGCTCATCAAAGAGCTAGCCACCGCTTTTCCAAAATCTGATACCCTCGCGTGTTGTGTCGTAGAAGTAAGTGTCATGCGGCTACACTCGGTGATTGACACTGATCTTTGCGACTCGCACATTAGACATATCTACGTGTTCAGCTTGGAACCGAGGCCTTGGATGGCGCGCGTTATGATGAAGCTGCTGACCACTTCGCCGCCGCCATCAACTCCAGCGCTTTCCCATTGAAATTCATCCATGAAGTATACGAGGACTTGATCGTGGTACGTTGACATCATGCATCCGATTTTTTTTTCATAACTGAGTGTTTTGTCCAGCTCTTCGGCTGGGATCTTGAGTCCTTCCGGCTCACTGCATACCAGAAACGTTGTCAGGCTTTCCTTTCGGCAGGTAAAGTCGAGGAAGCCCTCGCATCACACCAACACATGATGGACGCCATCGACGAAACTGAGAAGGCCAGCTCCCTCGATTGGTCCAACGGCAAGTTTTCAATGATGTCACTCGAAGCCACCATACTTACCCGCATTTCACTCAGAATTCAAGGAACAATGTAGCGCGCTCGCTGCTCGTGATGACCGTATCCTTGGCGCATGTACTCCCTTTCTCAACCTTTTCGCTACTGACCTAAGTTTTGCAGGCGGAGATTCCGGGGCAAGATCAAGATGGCTTTGATGCAGAACCTGATTTCTTCCGGGGAATGCGTGGTGTTTGTGCATCAGTGTATTCTTCATTTCTCTCTCTCACATCATTCGTTACAGCATTCTCAGATTTCCAGTCCACGACCTCAGCAGCGCCCAGGGCGCTTCAAGAAACTCGGGCTCGCTATGACAAGGAGTCCTCGTCCAGTTCCTCCACCTCCACCTGCACTGCCCACCGCCCTACCACCTGCCGCTGCTCCCACCACCTTTACAGCCCACGTACGACACCTATTTACCTGGAGACCCGATCGTGCAGCACCACCCGTCGTCGATGTTCCTTTTGCACAGGGTCGAAAGGTGCGCTCGATCTGTCTTCATCACTGTCTTGGGTATCTCATGTAAATATCTACAGCGTAATGCTGCAGCGGGTGCTCCTCCTGATGACGATCCGGACATTATACATGCTGAATATTTCGATGATGGTCCACCGGACCCCAATACACAACAACCCAACACACAACAGCAACGACAACCAGTAGTAATACAGGCAGACACTGGGGGACATGGAGGTGGCAAATCGTGTTTCTGCTGCTAGCGCCTTTCTTGGATGTCCTCGGGTATTTTAGTTTTGTCCTTGCTCTTGTTTGTTGCGATATCTATTTTGACTTGAAGCAGTATTTTTTTTGCCGTATCTTTCAGATTTCTTGTCCCTATTCATAGCTAATTTGCGGCCGCGAGTTTGGTGAATCGTTTGCTGGCAAGACTCTTGACCAGCCACTACTTTTACAACGTGCTACCTAACTAGTGCGTTCCCATACACAAGGGCGATCCCACTGCGGTTTTCCAGCTGTGGCAATGGCTCGCTTTAAATTAATGGAACAAGCGGGACGGTCGGATCACTCTATCAGTGTCTGTCCTTAACAATTCACGGCCTTTGAAGATGATCATGGTTCGAGCCTGTCTGCGAGTGGCATTTACATAAAAACATTCGAAAATGAGCTTCAACAGATTTTGAGATTTCAAATCTCGGTGCCTCATTGCAAGAACTGTGTACGTCGACTCTATTATGATAATCATATAATTCCGCAAGTTCTGTGATCACAAATGAACCGTCACTGTCTGTCTACGCCTGTCACTACCATCGCACACCAGCACCCGGGCTTTGAAGACTACGAGAAAGGACTGACTCACCCAGGAGCTAGCTTCGAGCTTATAAACACCTGAAGTTACTCCTATCAACCTCAGCAGTTTTTGTACGAGAGTGCCTCGTAGTATATAATTTCGCCCGTAGTTCCACAGAAATACCCGAAATCGTTGCTATTGTTGAAACCTTCGAGGCCCGTCGAGCACTCCACTTCATTGGCGGATAGCCACCAGCATGTGGTCATGCACCACATATATGTACCGGTATTTGGATGCAAACAGCGCAATAGCAGGTGTGCCTCCTTGGTGGAAAGAAATATCATTGAAAGGAAGTCATGAATGAGCAATGAAGAAAGACAAAAGACTTACCCGCATCTTCAACTATAGCTATGTACGATGAGCCACGCTAAAAACCTGTTGGGGCTGGCTCGCTGAGACTTTTGGGGCTTTGACACCGGAAATGACACGTGTCTTGCGGGTGCAGCTGCGTGAAGGATCCTGAGTTCGCCGTGCGTCTGATATCATAGGTTTGATGCTCCATCCTCGAGGGTGTCTGTAATGTCCGACTCCACGAAGTGTGGGAACAGGCACAACGTGCAGTCCAAGAGAAACAGGTTGGATATTGAATACGAAAACACGAAGCCGCCAACACAACACTTTTTCCGCATACCGGCTAGGAAGTCGAAGAGTTTGAGGAAGCGTGGCTAGATCATGTATCAATGAGAGTGCGGCGAATCTGAGAGGTGGTATGATGACGCTGTCCGATGCGAGGGTTGGGTACTTGATCGATGCGTGGACTGAGATGTCGTTCTGGAGGAATTCAACGCTTCTACCAGACCCGCTGGCTGTCCAGGCGCCTGCCGTTGTCAAATATCCACGTAAGTGTTGAATAGAACGTGTTCGGAAGGCAGGAACTCCGTTACACAATTAGTAGCTGTTTTGAGATGCCAGAGAAGAGGAATTTGGCTGCATCTGGTACACACGCAGGTTTTGGGAGTCAACGAAATGAAGAGGTGAAATTGCAGTAAGGTGTAACGGTAATGTGCGGGAGAAACTGCTCGACAACAAAAACAACAACATGCATGCAGTCATCTAGGATAGATGGCTCTCAGCCAGATACGAGCGGTGGGAAGCAACAATTGCACTATGATGCGAGGGCATACATGCTGGAAGATGTGGAGACAAGAGTCGAACACATGTATATAGTGCTGACACTGCGGGAGGGTATACTGTCGAGGAAGGCAAGTGTGACAATAGGAAGCATTCTTGTTGCAAAGGTGATAAGTGTGGTGGCGAACCACCTCATGTCTTGGGCGCCGTCTACGGAAACGAGGCAGGTTAATGTGGTGAAGTAACATATAAACGCAGAATACACGCACCTCTGCAGCTGAGACAAGACGCTCACAAACCCTCCAAAGTCCACCCCGACCGTGCTCAACAATACCAACCTGCAGTAAAATGTCGAAGCTCATTCCAAGCACCACACCCCTTCAAACTTTTAAATATCATGAAAGAAACGTATCTGCAGTCGCAGTTTTCCCCGATGGACGAAGAATGATTACGGGCTCGATGGATAAGACACTTTGTCTTTGGGACTTGAAGACAGGTGTTGTATTGAAGAAGATGGAGGGGCATAGCAGCGAGGTGCATTCATTGGCGGTTTCACGAGATGGGCAAATAATAGCAAGCGGTGATTACCTTGGAGAAGTCATTGCTTGGAACGGAGAAACAGGAGAATCCCTCACCCAACCCATCAAAATTCACTCCGACATGGTCTTTTCGCTGGACTTTTCCGCAGATGGTACGGTGTTGGCCACTGGTTCAAACGACAAGACGGTCAAGCTGTGGTGTACCAAAACATGGCAGCAGCAAGGAAATCAAATCAAATTCAATAATTCGGTCTACCGGGTTCGATATTCGCCGTCTGGTGAACTTCTTGCCATCGCAACAACATATAATATCCAAATTTATAATTCAGGCACAAGGGAACACGTCGCAACCTTGCAAGTTTGCGCGCGCTCATTCGCGTGGACGCCCAGTGGTGCACGCCTTCTTTCTGCCGCGGATGACGCCATACAAGAGTGGGATACATCAACCTGGGAGAAGGTCGGTCATCCCTGGAAGGGCCATACTGATATAATCAACGCCATCGCCGTAAATCCTGCTGGCACGCTCGTTGCTTCCGCATCCCAAGACAACCACGTCCGTCTCTGGCGGCTCTTAGATCGACGAAACATTGCCATCTTCCAGCACTCATCCAGTCGGGCATGTATCACGTTCTCCGTAGATGGCAATAACATCCTCAGCGGAGGTGCAGATAATCAGATCTCAGAGTGGGAAGTACGCAAGGGTTTTCATTCAAACGTGAGTTTCCATCCTTGACTCGTGGCACGCAATTCGACCATGCTTCATGCAGATATTCGATGATCCATGCATAGCTGGGGACTTGTCTACCGCTGAACAGCTGTTCACGCAAGAGCTCGACGCCGACGCCAACAACCATACCTCCTATGCCAATCGCTCATGCGTTATGGCACGAAAACAAGACTGGGACCGTGCCCTTGAGGATGCAATCAAGGTCAGTCATACGGACCAATCATGGCCCTCTTATGAAAGGCTAACTTTCAAATATAGTCCATCAGGATTAAGCCCTCCATGACAGGCTATATCTCCAAGGCCATTGCCCTCTGCGGAAAAGGCAATGTCCGGGACGCGAGGGTAGCATTTGACGTCGCATCTATGTTCACGAACCAAGATTCACAAACCATCCATTTTCTTCTCTTGATCAAGGTTGGTCAAGTTCGTCTCACATGCTCTCTGCTCCATTTTATATTCCAGGCCATTGCCCTCTACAATGCAGATCAACATGACGAGGCAATGCTGCTCATCAAAGAGCTAGCTGCCGCTCGTCCGAATGATGATACCCTCGCGTGTCGCGTCGTGGAAGTAAGTATCATGCGGCTACACTCGGTTATTGATACTGATCTTTGCGACTCGCACATTAGGCATATCTACGTGTTCAACTCGGAACCAAGGCCTTCGATGGCGCGCGTTATGATGAGGCTGCTGACCACTTCGCCGCCGCCGTCAACTCCAGCACTTTCCCATCGAAAATCATCCCTGATCTATGCGATGACTTTGTCGTGGTACGTTGACATGACGCATCCCAATTTTATTTCATAACTGAGTGTTTCGTTCAGCTCTTCGGCTGGGATCTTAAGTCCTTCTGGCTCACTGCACACCAGAAACGCTGTCAGGCTTTCCTTTCGGCAGGTAAAGTCGAGGAAGCCCTCGCATCACATCAACACATGATGGACGCCATCGACGAAACTGAGAAGGCCAGCTCCCTCGATTGGTCCAACAACCAGTTTTCAATGATGTCACTCGACGCTGTGAGACTCACTCGCATTTCACTCAGACTTCAAGGAACAATGTGCGCTTGCTGCTCGTGATGACCGTATTCTTGGCGCATGTACTTCCTTCCTCAACATTTTCGCTACTGACTTAATTTGTGCAGGCAGAGATTCCGGGGCAAGATCAAGATGAGTATGATGCAGAACCTGATTTCTTCCGTGGAACGCACGGCGTGGGTGCAACAGTGCATTTTATCGTTCATTTCTCACTCATACACCATTCATGACGGCATCCTCAAATGTCCAGACCACAACTTCAGCAGCGCTCGGGGCGCTTCAAGAAACTCAGGCCCGCTGCGACAAGGAGTCCTCATCCGGTTCCTCCACCTGCACCTGCACCTGCACTCACACCACCCACCGCCCTGCCACCTGCCACTGCTCCCACGACCTTCAAAGCCCACGTCCGACACTTATTCACCTGGCAACCCGTCGTCGAAGTTGCTTTCGCGTGGGGTCGAAAGGTGCGCTCGGTCGATTTTATTACTGTCTTGGGTGTCTCATGCATATATCTACAGCGCAATGCTGCAGCGGGTGCTCCTGCTGATGACGATTCAGATATAATACGTGCTGAATATGTCGATGATGATCCACAGGACCCCAATGCTACACAGCAGCCCAACACACAACAGCAACAACAACCAGTAGCGGCACAGGTAGCCACTGGGGAACACGGAGGTGGCAAGTCGTGTTTCTGCTGCTAGCGTTTTTCGTCGATGTCTTCGGGTATTTCACTTTTGTCATTGGAAGCAGTATTTTATTACCATAGTATCCTTCAGATTTATTCTGGTCCCTATTCATAGCTGATGATGCCCTCCCTAAGTGATATAAATTACAGAATGAGTCGTTGGCACACGATATTTGCACAACCTCTCTTAACGCGGGACAATGTAACATCGTAGCGGCACTTGTGTGCCTGTCCCCGACCCTAGTTGGTCGCTACTGTCAATGCAAGTTATCGAATCTACAATTATTACTGACATATAGTAGTGCACGGGCCATCCCGCATGTCAAGAAAAATTGAAGATACCAGGCCATCACGTCAGTGATCACAGTTCTGACGAGTCGCTGTGTCCATTGGGTATCTCGACGAGAATTCGACGAGCCATGAGCATACAGAAGTATAGAAACGGTCTATCAAGATATTATATCAGGAGAATATCGGCTCGGCGTCGTCGTGCGGCTAGCCGATCGCGACATGCTCCCCTTGACTGTGTTGAAAGGTACTTTGGATATTTCATCCCTTTATCACCTCAATGTTGCAGGGGCCGTACAAAAACGAGACAAGTGAGCGAGTGGTGGAGCGAGAAACAGGAGTGACCTGGCAAGGATCGCCAAGCAGCTGAGGGGGAGATGCAGGATCTCTTTTTCGTGTGAGCAAGAGGCGTAGGAAGCACCCGGAAGGAATCGTCATGCAGTAAACCTCTGCAACAAACTCAGCTCCAAGCAGGGTAGGGGTCTGCCAGTTGTAGCATGAGTTTCTTTGGTTGTAGTCTGCAAAGTCGCAGGCGTTGCCACATCGCCAATGATAGATAACCTCGCTGGTGTCGCGCTGGCACTAGCCTTGGTACCGTGAAGTGGAGTGGCCATTGTATTGAGGGTGAGGAGTGAGTGTAGACAGCATGCGTTACTGTCTCCAAACACGAGCATATGCGATACAATAGAGCGCGTTGGCGCAGCATAGCCAAAGAAGACAAGTAAAGCGAAGGAGTAAGGAGATACTTACCTTCATAACAGCGTTAATTCCATGCTGCACCAGCATGTGTGGAGAACTACAATCCTGGATATGCCTCGTGTTACTTGCTTCACGCGAGACCAACCACATGAGCTTTATGACAGAAGACGCCCCAAAATGCACCACATAAATGTACCGGAAGTTGGATGCAAAGAACGCAATAGCAGGTGTGCCCCCCTTGTGGAGAAAAAAAAAATTAGAAGGGAAGTCATGAATGAGCAACGAGGAAAGAGAGCCGCAACTGGTGTTTTGGGTTCAGTCTCTCGCTGGGTGTCGAGCGTGTACCCGCTTTTACGGTCCTGTACAGTATAGGACCGGTAGTTGAGCCAGCGCTATCAAATTTGAGCCGCTGGATGTGCATTCAGAAATTTTGGAATGTATTTCGCGTCGGCAAGCGCCGCGACTCGGCTGCAGTAGTATTTTCACGAAAGGGGAGGTTAGGGGTTTCAATTACTTTCCGATTCCACTCACATCAGCAAGTCTTTCATGCCAACCGTATGTGATTTTGATAGCAACATGACCGATTGGAACAGCATCATTTTTGACGATCCGACTTCCGGGCATCCTACGCTCCCTCGGGCTATTCAAGTTATGCAATGCATATATAGCACCGTCGATCCCGAAATCCCACCACCATTCACAGTGGACAATTGGTGGCACTCATTGAGTCTTTCCTATCAGGTAGAAGAGTCTGGACGTGAGCCGTCAATTGTCATACTCAATCTCCGAGAAGGCGAAGCAGATGATCCGATCATGAACACCCACTTTATGATCAACTTAAACACTATGCGTTTCCATGATAAATTTCAGGACCATCGATTCTCGGTACCCCAGGAGATCCTGTCTGTCCTAGGAGAACTCAGAGAGTACGTGAGAAGGGTTGTCAGAAGCAGATGGGAAGCGGGAGAGGCGCGAAAACGCGAGGCAGCCCGTCGCCATGAACAGGAGCGAGAAGAGCAACAAAATCGAGTCCAGGCGAGTAAAATCCGTCATTTAAAGTTGCAGAATTCGTTCATTCTTAAGTCTAGGCCTTTCATGACTCTCTTGTTGAGAATGGTCTGATCGATGGAGATGATGATGCGAGTTACTCCAGCAGTGACAGTCTGCACTGTCCTGTCTGTTCAGCGAAACAGACATCGTGCGATAGGTGCAGAGTTATCTCATGCTCCAATAGTGACTGTGAAGTCTCCTCTGCCATCCCCATCGTACAGTGTTCCAATCATTACGACACAAAGTTCTGTACCGCATGTTCGGAACGTTCAGGTCCTCTGTCTCGTCTGGGCAAGTGTCCCACATGTGCACGCTGGTTCTGTTCAAAAGAGCTTCAGTGGTGTATCGGGCGCCCAGTTTCTAACGACGACACAAGCAGCACCAGACCTTCTCCACCAAATCCCAGTGTAACCCGGTTACACCCAGTGCGTCCCTTGTCCTGCCAATCTATCGCCTGTATGGATAACAGTCGAGAGAACGGAACGATTGGGCGTCGCTGCTCCAAATCTAATTGTTGGTCTCGGGTCGGCACCACAACGTGCCCTGATTGCATCACACAGGATAACTTCGCCTGTCCGTGTGGAAAATACTGGACTTGCGGTGGATGCGAGTCGCAGGCTTCTTCAGCTAGTAAAAATCTGACATGCCCTGGGTGCCGCCGGCGTTTCTGTTCATCATGCTCATACATCGACGCTTGCGAGCTGTGCAAACTTGTGGATTTCTGTCGCGACTGCCTGAAGGACGAAAAGAACGTGGAAGTGGGCCGTGCCGTTCTCATGTGCCAGAGCTGCAAAGGTCTCCTATGCGAGACATGCACTGGTAGCGATGAGAAATTATGTTGCAGATGTGACCGAAGCCTTTGCAATCTCTGTGAAAACGAAGGAGATGACAGTGACTACCCTGATATTGTCTGTGATGAGTGTCTACGTGAGGTGAGTGCTTGCGAACGTCGCTTGTCATATTGGAGTTACTACCCTACACAGCAGAATTCTGACATCGATGAGGATATGGCTTTCGATGACTTGTATTAAAGTGGTGCGTCGCTTCCGAACTATCACTCGTATTGTAACCCGCACCTAACATTACTATGAATCTCGCTATAGGTACCCCATAGTGCATCGAGCTAGCCTGCTGCTCAGTGAACATTATTGCAACTCGGAGGTCGATCTATGTCTTGCATACAACAATATTTAAGTCTTCTCTCATTGGCATGAACCACCATAGCACATAGCAACTTGGATTTAAAACAACTCGAATGCATAAATCACCATCGCAATCTGGAAATTTCTCAGGTGTCGGCTGAAACTCTGTTGTGTGTTCCTTCCGTGTTGCCCCCATGTTCGTTGCGACTCCGACATTCACGTTCACGTTTATAGTTACGTGATCCTCTCCGACCTTCTTCATTTCCTCCTTCTCATCGACGTGAAGTCCGTCAACGGTTTAATTTGCGAAATTCACTCGGGATTTGGAGGTCTGATCCCATTGGGGCCTTCGACCTTTCTTCAATCCAACTCGACGGCGAAGGAGAAGTTACCAGAAGAGTGTTCAATGTGTTGTCGCCGTTCTTAGGACGCTCGCGGAGACCTTCATAGTGTCTCCGAGACTTGGTGAGCTATATTTTACCTACCTTGAAGCTTATGAATTTATCATCCTAGTGTTGGGTATATCTATGAATTAGTGGACCTCAACACTTCAACTGCGGCCGCCCTGTGTGCCAATGCGAGATGCGGACTGTTAACCCCGAAGATGGCAAGATGGTCTGCAGTTCCATGATTTTGTTGCTCGAGTTCTGTAGCTTTTGTCATTTGTACCGCTAGCATGGGCATCATCGAGATCGGTGTTATGTGTCTCAGCAGCAGCATCACAAACACCGTCCTCTCCAGCTTGGCAAATTTCATCAACTCTCTGCTCTCAAAGGACCGTGCCGCAGAGAAATACGATTTTTTCTTGCAGCTTACGGGTAACGAGATGCCTACCTTCTTTATCCACCACAGTGTCGGCGGGGTCTTCAATTCGACAACCTCGCAAGTACTGGCTTGGTCTGTGAGTACCCTTGTTCTCAGAATGTTATTCTCTCACTCACGACTACGTTCAGCCACTGTTAATGTCTTCTGCGCCATCCAATTACGTGGAAGCAAGGCTGACTAGCTGAAGATGTGACTCAGGCCTTGGGACGGTGGCCACGCATCACAATCATGTATATATGTACTCATACGTTCACACACTGATATGTAGATTGACTTAGAACCGATACGATACAGGAGTAAACCTGATTCATTCAACAGAGTAGTATTATATGTAGCACTAGTACATAATGCAATAACATAAGGGTACACGAAAAACGATATTCAATAACTAATCAGCGGCACAGCAGGGGAATGGAAGCAACCAGAATTACAGAAAATGCAATAATATAGCGAATCGACTCAAACTACACACCTATGTGAACAAATGTGATCAGCTGTTCTAGTGGAATCTTCTTGCGCAACGACTTCATAGCCTTGTGCAATGCTACTGCAGCCTGTGTGCAGTCCAATCTCCCTGAACCATCAGCCGGTTTTCCGTAAAAAGCGGACTCAACCTGATGCCCAGCCTCGACTTCGATATTCCCCAAGGAACCAATCACACTGCGAAATCCGGAGAATTGCATGGCTGCAGCGAGATTGATGGACTCGTCCGGACTCATCCACTCGCCCACAGCAGTTCGGCTGGACGATAAGAATGCAAACTCCGGATGCTGCCAGTGAGACCGGATGATGTCCTTGATCGTTGAAGACCCATGACGCATTGTAAAGCAGGACTCAAATGGTAGTCGTCGATTTGATATTACATGGCAGGCCAGGTGAAGCCATTGAGTCTGGCTCAATGCATCGACAAAGCCAGGCATCATGCGGATGCATGAGACAACATCTTCCCATTGCATGATTAATTGTCGGATTTGCGGGGAGTGGTCTTCATTCGATTGATCGAACACCTCACGAATGCGAAAGCTCAGCTGCTTAAAATCGTCCGCCAAGGCTGCGCCAGCGTCACCTGACAGGGACAGTTCATCGAGTGGTGTGCGGAAGCGTGCCAATTGCCTCCAGAATACCGCACGACCTTGCTCCACCAGTTCCACAGCAGTGGTAAAAGCGCCAAGACGAACACTGCATGAGAAAGCATCCATAGCAAGGGAAGAAGTCGCCTCCCTGACGACATTGAAATCGTGCGAACTTGAAGATGATAAAAGAGCAGAATCTGTCTCGAAGGCTGCTGGCAAGACTGTCGAGAGACATGGATCAAAGAGAATGGTCGATAGGGTAGCGCAGCCCGAAAAAGCTCAATGGCCTCATCAAGGTCAGATGGAATTCCCTGCTGCTGAAATCTGGCTCGCAGGCTATTGGCGAGATTGTTGAGAGCCGCGGATCGATCAGAATGACCGAGGGGGCGAAGCGCTAATGCATCCCGATGAAGCTCAATGACCTCATCAAGGTCAGACAGGACGCCCCAATGCTGGAATCTATCACGAAGGCTGATGGCAAGATCGTCGAGATATGCGGATCGACGAGAATGACCAATGAGACGGAGCGCTAGTGCAGCCCGATGAAGCTCAATGGACTCATCAAGGTAGAACAGGCCTCCCCGCTGCTGGAATCTGAGCCGCAGGCTATTGGCAAGATTGTTGAGAGACGTGGATCTATGAAGATGACCAAGAGGACTGCGAACACGTGCAGTCTGATGGAATTCAATGGCCTCATACAAGTCAGAAATAACGCCCCGGTGCTGGAATCTGTGTTGAAGGCCGACAGCAAGATTGCTGGGAAGAATAGATGAATGAGAATGACCAAGGGGACGGAGTTCTAGTGCAGCCCGGTGAAGTTCAATAGCCTTATCGAGGTCAGACAGGATGCACTGCTGTTTGAATATATGATGAAGGTTGATGGAAAGAGCGTTGAGGGATGTGGATCGCGGAGGGTCTACTGTCGAGGAAAGCAAATGTGACAATAGGGAGCATTAGATGAAGGTGTGGAAGTGAACCACCTCGTGTCTTGGGCGTCTATGTTAACGTAGTGAAGTAACGTAAAAACGCACAATACACGCACCTCTGCAGCTGAGACAAAGACGCTCACAAACCCTCTATATAAAGTCCACCTCGACCGTGCTCAACACTACCAACCTCCAGTAAAATGTCGAAGCTCATTCCAAGCACCACACCCCTTCGAACTTTTAAAGGTCATGAAGGAGACGTAAACGCAGTCGCAGTTTTCCCCGATAAACTACGAATGGTTACGGGCTCAGACGACAATACACTTTGTCTTTGGGACTTGAAGACAGGTGTTGTGTTGAAGAAGATGGAGGGGCATCGCAATAGAGTGTTGGTATTGGTGGTATCACGAGATGGGCAAATAATAGCAAGCGGTGATGCAAATGGAGAGGTGATCGTTTGGAACGGAGAAACAGGAGAATCTCTCACCCAATTGCCCATCAAAGCCCACTCCAATTATGTCCACTCCCTGGACTTTCCCGCGGATGGTACGGTGTTGGCCACTTGTTCAGGGGACTACACAGTCAAATTTTGGTGCACCAAAACATGGCAGCAACAAGGAAATCAAATGGAATATCTATATGCCCACCGGGTTCTATATTCGCCGTCTGGTGAACTTCTTGCCATCACAACATTTAGCAAAATCAAAATTTATAATTCAGGCACCAGGGAACGCGTCGCAACCTTGGAGACTTACTCCAACTCACTCGCGTGGATGCCCGATGGCACACGCCTTCTTGTTGCCGCGTATGACGACATAGAAGAGTGGGATACATCAACCTGGGAGAAGGTCGGTGATCCCTGGAAGGGCCATACTAAGATCATCAACGCCATCGCCGTCAATCCTGCTGGCACGCTCGTTGCTTCCGCATCTGAAGACCAATATGTCCGTCTCTGGCGGCTCTCAGATCGACACACCGTCGCCATCTTCAAGCACTTCTCCACCCCGAGATGCCTCACTTTGTCTGCGAACGGCAATAACATCCTCTGCAGCAACGGAGATAAGATCTCAGAGTGGGATGTACCTGAGGGTGTTCATTCAAACGTGAGTTTCCATCCTTGACTCGTATAAGGCAATTCGAGCATGCCTAGAATATGCAGATCTTCACTGTCGCGACAGTCCGTGATTCATGCATAACTGGGGACTTGTCTACCGCTGAACAGATGCTCACGCAAGATATCGACGGCGACACCAATGACTATACCTCCTATGCCAATCGCTCATTCGTTATGGCGCGAAAACAAGACTGGGACCGCGCCCTTGAGGATGCAATCAAGGTCAGTCATACCGTCCAATCATGGCCCTCTTATAAAGGCTAACTTTCATCCGTGACATAGTCCATCAGCGTTAAGCCCTCATGGTTAGGCTACATCTCCAAGGGCATTGCCCTCTGCGGAAAAGGCAATGTCCGGGATGCGAGGGTAGCATTTGACGTCGCATCCATGTTCACGAACAAAGATTTAGAAACCATCCAGCTTCTTCTCTTGATCAAGGTAGGTTAAGTTCGTCCCGCATGCTCTCTGCTCCATTCCGTATTTCAGGCCATTGCCCTCTTCAATGCAGATCAACATGACGAGGCAATACTGCTCATCAAAGAGCTAGCTGCCGCTTGTCTGGATGCTGATACCCTCGTGTGTCGTGCTGTGGAAGTAAGTATCATGCGGCTATGCTCGGTTATCAAGACTGATATTTACAACTTGGATGTTAGGCATATCTACGTGTTGAGCTCGGAACCAAGGCCTTGGATGGCGGGCATCATGACGAAGCCGCTGACTATTTCACCGCCGCTGTCAACTCCAGCGCTTTCCCATCAAAACCCATCCATGAACGATGTGAGGACTTGGTCGTGGTACGTTGACATGATGTATTTGAAAATTCTTTCATAACCGAGTGCTACGTCCAGTTCTTTGGCTGGGATCTTGAGTCCTTCTGGCTCACTACGCACCAGAAACGCTGTCAGGCTTTCCTTTCCGCAGGTAAAGTCGAAGAAGCCCTTGAATCACACCAACACATGATGGACGCCATCGACGAAACTGAGAAGGCCAGCTGCCTCGATTGGTCCAATGGCAAGTTTTCAGTAATGCCACTCGAAGCTGTCATACTGACCCGCAGTTCACTCAGACTTCAAGGAACAATGTGCGCTTGCTGCTCGTGATGACCGCATTCTTGGCGCATGTACTCCCTTCCTCAACCTTTTCGCCACTGACCTAAGTTTTGCAGGCGGAAATTCCGGGGCAAGATCAAGATGGCTATGATGTAGAACCTGATTTCTTCCGGGGCATGCATGGCGTATGTGCATCAGCGTATCCTTCATTTCTCTCTCTCATGTCATTTATTACAGCATTCTCAGATTTCTAGACCACGACCTCAGCAGCGCCCCGGGCTCTTCGAGAAACTCAGGCTCACTGTGACAAGGCGCCCTCTTCCACCTCCTGCACCGGCACCCACATCTGCACCGCCCACTGCAATACCACCTGCCGCTGCTCCCACACCAGCATCGCCCACCGCACCACCACCTGGCACTGTTCCCACGACCTTCACAGCCCACGTACGACACTTCTTCACCTGGCAAACCGATCATGCAACACCACCCGTCGTCGACGTTCCTTTTGCAAAGGGTAAAGAGGTGCGCCCGGTTCATTTTTACCACTTTCCTGGTTGTCTCACATAGGAATGTATAGCGCAATGCTGCAGCGGATGATCCAGGGCGAGACGAGGACATGGTACCTGACGAATATTTTGATGATCTGCCGCAGGACCCCAATGCTACACAACAGCCCAACACACAACAGCAACAACAATCAGTAGCAATGCAGGTAGACGCTGGGGAACATGGAGGCGGCAAGTCGTGTTTCTGCTGCTAGCGGCTTTTGTAGATGTCCTCGGGTATTTCAGTTCTGCCATTGCTCTTATTTGTTGCGATATCTACGTTGACCTGAAGCAGTATTTTATCACCATATCCTCCAGATTTCGTTTTGTTTCTATTCATAGCCAATGATAACTCCCTATGTGAAGTCCTGGATGAAAACTTTGCGGGTCCGTAGACGCCTTCAACAACGCCAAGCGATCGATGAATTAGGCCACGTCGTGATGGGTCAAAAGTACGGAAACGGGTGTACATGTCCGATGTTCGACTCGATTTGCTAATTGAAGTGCGGCCCGGGGGAACATGTAATGTCTGTGTAATGGAAACAGTAATAATATTGAGGATGTACCGACAATATATAGCATAACCTGCGGCCCAAGACAAACAGGCCGAATAGAAGAACTATTGTAATGGGATTCAAAATCTAGCGGGAGCGAGGGGCAGTAGGAATTGCTTGTTGAATTCATTATGGATGTGGGAGGCACCTATCGAGGATAGAAAAGCGGCCAATCTACAGAGTGCTGCTAGTCACGAAACATCAGTGACCTTTTTCAGTATGCCATACAGAACGGTTCACCTTTGATATGATCGTTGGGGAATGCAGTGTCCAAGAAGTTCATAGAACTTTCCACAGACTTCGAAAATGCGTGCTGATGACAGCTCTTGGACTATGAGATCAGCGACCTCGTGACAGTACATCTCCCAGTCTGGTTTGGCTATTTTCAATGAACCTGAAAGATCTGGCCTGCAACGCGATGAGTCTTGATGATAGCGATACGGCTACATGTCGAACTTACGATTGCATCTTCAAACCTTCGAAGACGAGTAACGCTTTTCGCAAGTTGCGACCAGAGTCTTCGGCGACCTGTTGTGACGCCTCTTTAGGTAGGTGGAAGTCTTCACTGCATGTTCTAACACCATTTGGTGAACTCAGAACAAGATGGTCGTGGCCAAGAAGCTGAATCGACTGGCGATGCATGACGGCCGGGTGCGTATAAGTGGCAAGCATCAACGACTTCGGCCCAGAGGACATTGTAAAGGAAGCTGCCTCTAAAACCATCTTGTCTCCACATGCGCCAAGGAACGCATATATTCACAGCTACAGAGAAGCCGCTATCAATCCATATATGCGACATACTCACCTACATGCTAAAGTAGCAGAAGGGGCATAGTGAAAAGGTTGCTTGGTGATCGGAGTTGGTTTTCCTCCTGTGGGATTCTTGTTGGCGCTCATGCTCTTTGGTTGCCTATATGGGCAGCGGGATATCAGGCAAGAAAATATCGGAAGTGAAAAATGTACCTGTGTTGAGTGCTGCAGCCACTGGTTTGGATCAATGTGAGCAACACTACTCGTTTCATAAAATGTAGCGGAAGCGCGGGGCAGTAGGAATCGCTTGTCGAGTTTCGTTATATATAGATACGGGAAGTGTAAATGATTATGTGTTTTATCGATCGTAATTCGAATTGCCTGGATCCTGGTGCATGATCTTGCAGCGAGTCTAGGTAGTCGCGCGTGCCTCGAATCCCTCGATGAAGCTGCTGGAGAACAGGCGCTAAATTACCGGATTGGGATTTCGAAAATTTGAAATGGCGCCTCATGCGTTTCAAATTTCAATCGAGGCGGTCATCTTAACGCCATATAACAAAATGCACCTCAGACGTCCAGGCGCTATCTCGACGCCTATCGATCTAGTTTGTCTGGACAGGACCTTGATACGGGCTGGCATGAATCAGACAACTTTACCGGTTTGACATTATCCACTTACCATGTTCTAGATGTCTGAGCTCCGTTCAACCTTTTTCTGGTGCCGGCGCTGGATTGGCTGCGATTGCTTGCTGGGCATTGTATCATCATCAGCCCCATTAATCACATAGCTCCTCCTCGCCTTCCCCGTTGCGATCACACTTCCCTGTGTCGTCTCAGTCTGGCGCGCATGCTCAAAATCTACAAATCGGACTCGGGTCTCGCTGCAACATTTATTCCTCTGTTTCTCGCGCAATATTTCATCGCTGGAACGAGTTCTGGATGCTCAAATGGGCAGACTCTGCGCAAGTTCTGGGGGTATGGGTTCTTGGTGAGGATTAGTGCTGCTGTTGTGTTGATTGGGGGTATTCCGGCATGGTGGACGTCGCCTGTTTGCATTTCTATTTCTAAAAGCCACAGCCAATCTAGTGAGACGTCTCCAGCACCAGACAAGACTAAAGACGCCGTGCTAGGCTTCGCCAACGGTTCAGTTCTTCCTACCTCATTTTCTGGTTCATCTTCTTGAGAATCGTCTAGTTGATGACCCAAGTCTCAGGAAAGATCGTCCTCGGACTTTCATTCACTGCGCTACTGTCCTATCTAGTGTTTATTGACACCGTCTGGACATCCATGGCTTAAACGCAGCCTTCACCACCCCTCGATGATCGACCTCGCCAATAATAACATAAACTGCGGGCCCTCACCATCAGAAATCGTGCCTCTAGCGCTCCAAGCGACGCAAACGTATTACAGCACAGGCCACCAATCGACAATTTTGTCTGCAGGGGAACAGCGCGTTGGTGCGTGAAAAGACGGTTTCTTTCCCTCTTTCACATTTTCTGTGGGCATTGATATGTTTCGGTTATTTTTACTCTTAGCGTTTGCAGTACCTTTGGTTATGATGTGTAACCTCCGTCCAATGCCCCATCCCCGGCCCACAATAGGAGCACCAACGCTAAGAGCCGCACTAGCGACGTGAAGCTTGGGTGAGATCGCGTCCCTGAACTTTGCGTGTATTCTGAAGTTCTTACCACTGTAGCTTTGGCGTATTTAATCGCTATGCTATTGCTAAGCACTGCAATCCTAGGTGATCTATGAGCTATGTCATAGGTCAAATGGTCGAGATGCTATGCTGATCGTGAGCGTTATCAGGGCGTTCTCGTTCGGCGATCCTTGGGCGCAGCTTCAACGGAACATCTTTGCACATAGCCTGCTAAGGTTCCACCAAAATAATCCCGAGCAGGTTTTTGGGTGATGCTACTCCGCCTGCCGACGCTGAGCAGTTGCTAATTGTTACGTGCCCTATGTCATTCTAGATCAATGCTTCACGCACAACTGCCGTTCTGTCGCTGCCGAGTTGAGAAGCGATATCTGTCGGTCTACACAGAAACACAACCCAACTCGCCAGCGCTAACGAAGCACGACACAGACGCCCTCTCAAGTAACTCTCGGTTGATTCCGCGGTGTCAGATTATGATTCTTGGAGACACATGAGTTAGCCTCTACTAGTTTGTACACCAATGAATGTCATTGTCTCTTCGCCCTTGCCTGTCTCTGACTAGTCTATAGAACGGTCGAGTCTAAGTCTCTTGGTAACATTAACACCTCGTCTGAACTTCCGGCGCAAACGGACGGTTGCCAAACGAGCACCAAGTTAGTGATGAGCGGCTCCAGCAGGCAAAGCACTCTGGGGCGAGTCGAGCATCTTGAAAATCGCTATTACCGCGCACGCTTCATCGGCTTGCCATTTCAGCGACTTTGCTGTCTCCTTCAGATCGTTTTGTCGCACACATCTCATCCGAGAAAGTTGTGACGAGTAGAGGGCCCAGAAGATAACTGTTCGTTTCTGGTGTCGATGCGCATGAAAGACTGGAAACGCAGATATCTCGGAACCTATGTCCAGCGGGACAAATAATGCTCGTAAGGTTGATTCGCACATAATGAGGTTCGAGCGTCTATGAAGCCGCACAAGACATTGCGATCGTTACATGGACTTGGTCCAGAAGTTGAGATGTGGACAATGGAGTAATTGCCATGGAGGCTCTGACGGCGAACAGGGGAAATCAAATCGTTCGAGCCACTAGTATGTAAGCGCGCTTGCCTTGCTCCTGTAGAATATAATGTTGCCATAGATGACATGAAAATCATAAACACTCGATTTGCAAAGGTCAAAGATTGTGGTGGCTTATGATACAATGTTCGGGTGATGAGTTCTTCATCGGTGGGTGGACTGAGATGCCGTTCCGGAGGAACAATAATGCTGCTACCAAACCTGCTGGCTGGCCCTGCGCCTGTCGTTGGCAAAAATTATCACAGAACTGTTGGATAGAACGGACCTCGGAAGGCGGAAACTCCGCCACACAATGAGTGGCTGGTTTAAGGCGTGAGGGTAAAGGAAGTCAGCTGCATCTGGTGCACACACAGATCTTGGGAGTCGACGAAACGAAGAGGTTATATTGCAGTAAGGTGTATGCAAGTGTTCGAGCAAGTTACACGGCGAACTGTCGAGGAAAGCAAGTGTGACAATAGAAAGTATTTGTGGAAGCGAACCACCTCGTGTCTTGGGCGTCTATGGAAACGAGGCAGATTAATGTAGTGAAGTAAGGTAAAAACGCACAATACACGCACCTCTGCAGCTGAGACACAGACGCTCACAAACGCTCCAAAATCCGCCTCGACCGTGCTCAACACTACCAACCTCCAGTAAAATGTCGAAGGTCATTCAAAGCACCACACCCCTTCGAACTTTTCAAGGTCATGAAAGACGCGTAATTGCAGTCGCAGTTTTCCCCGATGGACGAAGAATGGTTACGGGCTCGAAGGATGAGACACTTTGTCTGTGGGACTTGAAGACAGGTGTTGTGTTGAAGAAGATGGAGGGGCATCGCAGTGAGGTGTGTTCATTGGCGGTATCACGAGATGGGCAAATAATAGCAAGCGGTGATTACTCTGGAGAGGTCATCACTTGGAACGGAGAAACAGGAGAATTTCTCACCCAACTCATCAAAGCCCACTCCCAAGATGTCCGCTTGCTGGACTTTTCCGCGGATGGTACGGTGTTGGCCACTGGTGGGAGCACGATGGTCAAGTTTTGGTGCACCAAAACATGGCAGCAACAAGGAAATCAAATTGATTTTGAACGTGGTGTCTACCGGGTTCTATATTCGCCGTCTGGTGAACTTCTTGCCATCGCATCATTCAGCAAAATCGAAATTTATAATTCAGGCACAAGGCCTCACTGCGTGTTGTCCAAAAATTCCGACGGCTTGGAATTGGCTGAGAATCTGGGGGGTACATTAGGTTTCAGCCACGTCGGAGCCATCAAATATCAGCCGACTTCTATGATGTCGGAAATCTGACCCTTTAAATTATCACCGGCGTCAACGATGGCTCGAACTTAGAGGTACCCTCACCTACGTCTTATCTACCTTACAGTGGCTTCTACATGAGGTATGTTTTGCGCATTGTACACATATACATATATATATATATATAACAAATGTATAATATGGCAGGTGCCATACCCATTTCTAGGGTTACACGGTATTCTCCATATGTACACCTGTTCTTGCATGCCGCACGCCGCATGCGCTGCCACCAACCAACCATACCAACCCTACCATACCATACATTTCCCAACAACTCAACGAGACTGTGGACGGACGGGTTACAGCCTATCGCTTGGCCGTTTGATGTCTACTAATCAACAAAGCAAGGTACGAGCTTATAGTTGAGTCTTAATGCATAGTTGACTCTCGTATACCTGCAGCGGCGTATATGTCCGTGCTCAGTGTGCCAGCTATCAGGTCTTTTTCAGACCGGTCAAACTATCAAAAATCACCTCAAGAAGCATGGTCGTGCACGCAGGCAGCATCTTGGCAGTGGTGAACCTCCGCAGGCTCAGCTGATCAATGGGACCGCTTCGGACGGAGATATCACAAGTCAGGACGAATTTTTGCTGGATGATGACCCGATTTAAGAACTAGACAACAGTTAGACCTCAGTCCGGTAAAAGAGACTGTATTGGTGTACCTAGACAACAGTTAGACTAGCGTACACATTAGTGTAAATACGGGCGGGAAGAAATTAGACAACGTACCCTCAGTCCGGTAAAAGAGACTGAGGGAAGAGGTGTGCCAATATGAGTCTGATATATAGGGAAATGATGGTATTCTAACATTCGTTCCCCGCGGTTATCGTCGGCACCACTAGTTCCAACACTCCTCCTCGACGAGAACCGTATGAATTCTCCTCCTCGACTGGAACGATCATCGTAATCCGAGTGCGTCACGTAGCCGTTGGAAGTCACGTTTTGGGAGTGCTTTGGTGAAAACGTCGGCGGTGTTCAGTTTGGATTGTACGTATTGTAGGCGTAGATGTTTTTCGTGTACGCGATCCCGAATATAATGGTACTTGATGTCGATGTGTTTGACGCGAGCGTGGAATGATGGATCTTCTGAGAGAACGATACTTCCGCTGTTGTCGCACAGGAGGGGAGACGCTGAGTCTTGAGAGAAACCAAGTCCTAGTAAGAGTGCTCGCAACCATACGATCTCTTGAGTGGCCTCGCACGCGGCAATGAATTCGGCTTCGCTGGTGGAGAGGGAAACAGTTTTTTGTTGACGAGTAGCCCAGGATATGGTACCGCTGCCCAGAGTGAAGCAATAGCTGCCCACCGAACGACGCGTGTCGACACAGTTTGCAAAATCGCTGTCGGTGTGACCAAGGAGGTTGGCAGGATGTTGGCCTCCAAGGGTAAGTTTGAGTTCGCGTGTGCCCTTCAGATAGCGCACGACACGCTTAGCAGCTTCCCAGTGAGCGTCACCGTAATTATCGAGGAATTTGCAAAGCTGTTGTACCGCGAACGTTATGTCGGGGCGAGTGCCAATAGCGATATACATCAGTTTGCCAACGAGAGAACGGTAGGGGGTTTTTGCCATACACGCGCGATCGTCGTCTGATTTGGGGGAGTGGTCCTTACGCGATAGATGGAGGCCAGGTTCCATAGGGATAGAAACAGGGTAAGCGTCTTTCATGTGGAATTGTGTGAGTACCTGATCGATTAGCGCAGTCTGAGAGAGTGATATGGTGCGCTGAGATCGATTGCGTTCGATGGCGATACCCACACAAAACCTTGCTTCCCCTAAGTCGGAAATCTCCCAGCGGGTGCGTAGTTGGGACTTGAAACGCGTGAGGGCGGCTTTGCTGCTACTGACATTGAAGAAGTCGTCGACATGGATGGCGGTGAGGATGGTCCCAAGGTCATCTCGCCTGAAATAGACGCAGTGCTCACATTCAAGGCGTTTGAAGCCCCAAGAAATGAGAGCAGCGTGCATGGTACGGTTCCAGACACGGCCACCCTGCTTCATGCCGTAGAGACCGCGTTGCAGCATCCAAACGTGGTCCTCCTTCCCTGGTTCAACGAAGCCGTCGGGTTGTTGCATATAGCATACTTCCTCCGGGTCGAGTAGGCCATTCAAGAAGGCGGTTTTGACATCGAGTTGCTCGATTTCCCAATCCAACGATGCGCCGAGGTGTGCGAGGACCCTGAAAGATTCCAGGCGTGCGGTCGGAGAGGAGGTCTTAGTGTAGTCCTGTCCATAGACAGCTGTAAAACCTCTGCACACATACCGTGCTTTGAAACGAACGGGGAGACCTTTTTCGTCGCGCTTAAGTTTGAAGACTGGTCGACCTTTCATGATGCGGCGGCCTTTGGGGACTTCGGAGATGGGGACGAGGGTGTAGGTGCCGGTGCGCTTGAGGGAGTCAAATTCCTCTTGAAGGGCGGCACGCCATTGTGCGGCATGTGGTGATGCCATTGCTTCCTGGTAGGTCGTTGGGTCGTCGGGATGTTCATGTTCGAAGTCTTCGGGGACGGCAGCTGAGAAAGCGTCGACAAGGGATGCAAGGTCGTCCTCGGAGAGGTCCGTTGGTCCAACAGGATCGTCGACATCTGGGGCGTCAGTGACCGTAGGTTGCATGTAGGCAATAGCATGGGTTTGGGATACCCACGTGGGTCATGGGTAGGGGTACTCGTGGGTTGGGTAGGGGTCTCAGCTTGTTGACCCTTCAAATACCCATACCCCTGAGTATGGGTTGGTGGGTATTTAGCTCGAGAACATTTGAACATGAAGGCAATTCAACTGTACAGTTTTACCCTTATATGGCACATCATCACAAACCTTGAATGAGGATTTGCCACCCAAATCTATTAAGGAAATACTTCTAATCTAAGAACTACTTCTACCTGAGAAAATCTCGTACTTCGGATCAATGGCAGACAAAAGACAGCGCAAGCCCACCGAAAAGGCACGAGAATTCTTATCAAATGTCAAACAGATCATAAAACGCAAGGCAAGTCATGAACTTACCTCCAAAAGGTCAGGGAAGCGTCCCATGACCGTGGCATCAGATTCCGAAGACTCGCCAACTCCTTCGACGCAAAGCCATCGAGCAGTCGTCCGGACCGAGGAAGAGGAAGAGGCTCTTCACAGTGATAACGAAGTTGTTGAGGTCTCCTCCGAACATGAGGATGTTGATGACAATTCGGAAACTGAACTTGGTATGCCTGTATACATAAGCAAGGTGATGATTTAGTTAACATTTGAGCATAGAACGTTTGAAGGGGGACTGGAACTCACCTGTGTATGGATTCTATCACCCGATTCCGGAAATTGGGTACCATGAGGGCCGCCGCTTCCACGAATTCAAGTGCGCAGCAACGAGCTGCAAGAAAGGGGTCCGTCGTTACCTTGACAAGAAGGATGCGAAGTCGACCAGTAATATGCGGAAGCACGCTAAGATCTGTTGGGGTGAAGAGACTGTTAAGCTCGCTGATGGAACAAAAAATGCTCAAGAGGCACGTACCATTATCTCTGGGGCAAAAGACGGCTCTATCACAGCATCGTTCGAACGCACTGGGAAAGGCAAGGTCACATATTCGCACCGGCAACACACAAGAACAGAAACGAAGTACGTACTCGTGTTGTGATTGTGCTGATGTTGAGGTTGATGGTGGCAACAGAGCAGAGATCGTCCGCTGGGTAGCTGAAAGCCTGCGACCATTCACGATCGTCAAAGATCGTGGCTTTCAGTCGTTAATGAAAACGGGTAGGCCTGAGTACTACATACCTTCTCCATCGACGGTCTCGCGCGACGTCAAGCTCGTGTTCGTTCGCACACGACAACGAATTGCTAAGATGCTACAAGTTCAGTACCCTCACTATACTTAAACTAAATCTCATATATTACCAGGAATATGATGGCCAATTGAATTTCGCCACCGATGCGTGGACTTCGCCAAACCACAAGGCATTCGTGGCAGTATCAGTACATCTAGAGCAAAACGGAGAGCCGTTAGCCATGATTCTAGACATAGTGGAGGTGGCAGAGGCAAGATAATCTAATACGTACCTAGAAAACTCATTAACCGTCTGATATTCAGTCACACTCCGGCGAAAATCTTGCAGTGGCCTTTGAAAAGATCCTAAAAGAGTTTGGTATATCAAAGAAGGTGAGCACGAACAAACAAACAAATGGACAAGGACAATACTTACCAAGTAACTTGTAGATGTTGAGTTTGACGGCTGATAATGCCAGCTCGAACGACACGCTGACAACAGAACTCGCCAAGCGAGTGGATTCGTTCAGCGGTGCAGTGAACCGAACACGATGCTTCCTACATATCGTCAATCTCGTTGCGCAGTCGATAATCAAACAGTTCGACGTACCTAAACATGCACAGGCAAGTTTGGAAGATGACTGGCCGATGCCTGAAGCCATAGATGTCCTGGATGACGAAGATCAGGACGAGCGGTTGTTGCAAGAACTTGCAAATGGGTCCGAAAATGATGATGCACGCACCATTGCAGAAAGAGGCGAGGGTAATCCAGAGGACGCTGATATAGACGATATGGATGGGTGGGTTGATGAAGTCGCAAACCTGACAGCACACGAGCGTGCTGAATTACACAAGACACTGCGGCCTGTGAAGCTCGTCCTTGTGAAGGTAAGCCTAAACCAGTGATGACTAATCACTCACGCATTCATCGTGCACCAGCTTCGCAAGCTCGCCTTCAAGATTGTGCACTCATCCACACTCCTATTGCCTGCGTGGAAGGCACTTCTACCAGAGCTGGAATTAGCGGTCCGTATCATGCCTCGCGACGTATCGACGAGGTGGAATTCTACCTATGATATGCTGGACTTTGCGGTGGAGTACCGGCAGGCACTTGACAACTTCACTGGCGACCGCAAGTTCGGGTTGCGGGACTTCGAGCTCAGTGAACGAGAGTGGACAATAGCTAGACAGTTGCGCAATATTTTAGAGGTGAGTTGTGCAGTCTTCGGTTTGAGTTTACTCACGCCAGGCACAGATCTTGAAAGATGCCACAACATACTTTTCACGCTCAACACCAAATCTCGCTACCGTTATTCCAGCCATCGATCACATTGACGAGTCACTCACAACTCACTCTTTTGACAAGCATTTGAATAGCGCCATTCGCGCTTCTCTCGCAGTGGGCAAGAAGACATTAGATAGGTACTATTCACTTACTGACACGTCTCAGACATACCGTATCGCAATGGGTATGTCTCTGTTTTGTTTTATATTCAATTCTATACTAACAATACATTTTGAAGTGCTTCATCCCCGGCACAAACTCACCTACTTCAAGAACGCTGGATGGGAGCAGGACTGGATCCAGACAGCCTCCAACCTCGTGCGCGAGGAGTTCGACTTCTCGTATGCTGATATGCCCATCGATCCACTCAATGAAGAGTCCAAAGGTGATGACCATGGATCGCAGCTTCGAAAGGTAAGTTAATTGACTAGTATGCTTTAGCGCTGACCGGATATGATTTTACAGGCATCAAAAAAAGACAATATATTCGATCAATTACCTGCTCTTGCAGCTCCGAAGCGCACAGTCACTGACGAGCTCGCATCATACCTTGCCACCGAGTGCGAGCACGTCCCAAATGTGATTACATGGTGGCATGAGCACCGAAAAACATATCCACGTCTCTCCCGCATGGCGCTCGACTATCTAACAATTCCCGGTACGTTCAACTAACTTCTTGCTTATGCCCCGCACTTAAATACTAACACTATCAACTCAGCTACGTCTGTCGACGTTGAACGTATTTTCAGCCGAGGACGTCTTCTGCTATCTCACGTTCGGAGCCAGCTATCTTCACAAACCATTCGAGCCTTATTGTGCGTCGGCATTTGGAGCAAGCTGGGATTGGTACACGACAATGATGTGAAAGCTGTTGCTGTGCTAGAGGATGTCGAGGGTGAGGAATCGAAGCTGCTTGATGGCTGGGATGCCATTAAGATTTAGTTAGTATATTGTTTGTACCTACTACAGTGTCTATTCGAGTTTCTATTCGAGTTGCAATGCATGGGTCATGGGTTACCCGCCATGGGTTGTATACCCATGATACCCACATGTACCCTTGTCAAAACCCGTACCCGAGCTGACCCTTGGGTCATGGGTACGGGTAAGCGGTGGGTATGGGTCCGGGTAAGCTCGTGGATACCCACGGGTTACCCATGCCATTGCCTAGTTGCATGCGTCGACGTTCGGATGCAGGGATGTAGGGGGTATCCAGGGATGTGCAAAGGCGTTCAGAGGGTGGGGAGGTACAGGAGGACCGACGGGGAGCGGTAGGTGGTACTGGAACGGGTTCGTGTTTTGGTATACCGGGTGATGATGACGTCGGTACTATACGGTCAGTACAGCCCTCCATACCTGTTGGTACTATACGGGTTGTACAGTCCTCCATACCTGGTGGTGTTGGTGGCGATGCGGTTGAGGTACGGAGCGGGTGAGGAACGGTCTGGTGAGATTCTATAAAAGAAACGTGATAGGAGATAAGAACCTTGCCGCTCGGGCGATGGTAACATCGATATGCCTTTGAGTCAGTTGAATAACCGATCAATACGCACTCAAGTGACCGTGCGTGGATCTTCGGATTGTGCGTGTTCTGGATCAGAACAAACGCACGGCATCCGATCTCCCGGAGATGAGAAACATCAGGTTTGTGACCCGACCAACGCTGGAAGGGTGTAAGTCCGTGTTGTGATTTGACGGAGACGTGGTTGGATAAGTAGCACGAAGTCACGACGAACTCATCCCATCTGTTGGGGGGGAGATTACTTGCCAAGCGCATAGCGCGTGCACGGTTCATGAGGGTGCGGTGGACACGTTCAATGCGTCCGTTCTGGGCAGAAGTATACGGTGCTGTGAACTGGTGTTGAGTCCCGCGAGAGAGGAGCCACTCTCTCATCGCGGTGGACTTCAATTCACCATTGTCAGAGCGGTAAATTCCAACGCGAAGCCCGGTTTCGAGTTCGCGTGCGCGTTCCCATGCCTGAAGTGCTGGAAGTGCTGCGCTTTTTGAGGAGAGGGGGATCGCCCACATAAACGAGGAAAAATCGTCTATTATGTCCAAAACATAACGGTTGCCTGCTGCTGATACAGTATCGGGATGGTCCATCAAATCTACATGTACAACTCCCAATTTACGAGTAGCGCGTGATCCTTCGCGAGTCTTCGGGACGGGTGATCTAGTCTGTTTGCCGAGGATACAATGGTCACATTTAGGAGGAAGGGTGGAAAGATCAGCGTGCATACCGGTGACGTGGCCCGCGCGCGCCATGTCAAACACTGCGCGAATGTTCGCATGAGCGAGGCGGCGGTGCCAGACACCTAGGGATGGAGAGGGCTGTGTGAACATAGCTTGGGCGATGTGAGATCCAGAAGGGACGGCCTCGGGTACAGAGGAGGAACGTTGGTGTGTAGCGTGGATCTGTCACCCAGAGACGCGATACAGACGACGGGAGGTGAGTGTACCTGTGAGGACGCGTGCTCCGCTGGTGGTGACCACCGAGCAGGACGAGGCATCGAAACGAGCAGTATAGTGCCCCGCGCTGCAAAGACTGGAGACTGACACGAGGCGTACTGCCGCGGATGGGACGAACAGTACGTTGTGGAGAGTGATGTGCAGTCCGCGTCCGATGCGAAGTCTGATGGACCCGATACCCACAGCGTTGATGTGAGAGCCTCCTATGCCTCGAACGGGGCGAGGTGGAAGGTGGTTGAGTTCGAAGAAGTCAGAGACCTCGTGTGATATATGGACAGACGCCCCGCTATCAAGATAGAAGGGGGTCGTCTCGAGGTTGACGGGGGTGTACTTCGGTTGATGTAAGGCGTCATTGGCGATGCCAGCGAACTCAACGTCGCGACTGTTAGTGTTCCAGTCGACCGTTGTTTGGAGGTTCTCCCAGTCCAGGAATAAGGCGTCCCATTCAGCCATATCAGCCTCCGAAAGGTCTTGGATGAACGCGGGGGTGATAACGTCGTGGGCTAGACCCGCGAACTCTTCTGAGGGAGGTGCAGGTGGCTGGGTGGGCGTGGCAATATAGAACGCCTCACCGGTGACGCTATCCAGGAGGTAGGCGCGTCCAGATGAGTCTGTACGACGATTGGAGGTGGGTTTAGAGGAAGAACTGGGTGGTTTACTGTTGGGGGCATCACGCTTGTCGCGTGCAGCACGCTTAGCGGCTAAGATTTCGTCACGGCGACCGTACGCAGCTCCTCCTTCGGCGAAACACTCGCTGAGGACGTGTCCACGTTTGGAACAGTGGGAACAGCAGTTGCCCTTGTGGGGAGGCCCCCTGCAAGTGAGGCAGTTCTTTGTCCTGCCCCCCTGTGCGATGAGGGCGACGTCTGTGGAAGCGCGGTGCTTATCAGCGTCGATAAGTTGTTGCTCCATGTCCAAGCGGACGCGAATATCGTCGGGTGTGAAGGGGTTGGACGATGTGCTGGCAGCGAGGGAGCTCGCAACGTGGTCACGAACGTGTGACATGTCTCCAGTGAGGGCGTTTAGCATGATAATGGAAAGGAACACCTGCTGGGTTGGTATACCCATGTCAAAGATGGCGCGTATGCCCTCAGTGAGACGATGACTGGTCTCCGCGAGGTTCGTGTCCCTGGAGTACCGCACGTTGAGGAGTTCTTGGATTTTCAAAATTTGTGCGATAGGGCCAAGTTTCTGATGACGTGACCGCAAGGCGTTCCAGGCGACGCGAGCATTTGTGATACCATCGAGCACACGTTTGTCGTCAGGCGAGACACGATTGCGCAGCGCGGCAATGATGCCAGCATTGTTAAGGTCCCAGTTCCTTGCTGCTACGGGCTCGCGTGCCGCGTCTGGGCGAGCGACTGTTCCCGTGGTGTAGCCCTCGAGGAGATTCATGTGGAAAATTTCCAACATGAGCTCGGACCAGCTCGTCCAGTTGTTCTTTACCCTGTCCAGCAGCTCGATTTTATCGAGGTCGGTCTTTGAAAGTCGACACGCTGTGATGGAAACTGCGGATGAGGTGTGAGTAGGGTAATACCCGTACGGAACATGGTGAGTTGGAGCTGTTGTGTTGGTCGTGCCCCCTTGTGGGGTCGCAGGAGAGACAGGAGGGTTCATACTGACTGGGGTAGCTGGTACATTCAGCCCAGAGGTTAAGGGAGAGGTTCCATCGAGTTCGGTCCTCGCACGTGTATGTGGGGCCATGATGATGGGAAGGGATAAGAGTACCGAACAACGCGGCGGGATATATATATGAGTGGTGCGCCTCGAGGATCACTCGAGGAAGAGTTCCCAATTAGGGAGGGATGATGGTCCGAGCGTAGCGTACAAATAATCGTACGGGCGCCCGCCGGTGAAGACACGAGTCTAGCACTTGCTAAGACTTCGGGTGTACGTATCTTGAGGAGGTTAGAACCGCTCAGAGAGTCCGTGGTAGTCCTTTATGTGTCTAGAGGTTCTGGCTCATTATACAGAGCCAGGGCTCATAACCTTTAAGAACTAGACAACAGTTAGACCTCAGTCCGGTAAAAGAGACTGTATTGGTGTACCTAGACAACAGTTAGACTAGCGTACACATTAGTGTAAATACGGGCGGGAAGAAATTAGACAACGTACCCTCAGTCCGGTAAAAGAGACTGAGGGAAGAGGTGTGCCAATATGAGTCTGATATATAGGGAAATGATGGTATTCTAACATTCGTTCCCCGCGGTTATCGTCGGCACCACTAGTTCCAACACCCGATACTCCCTGATTATGGGACACCGTCCCAAGAGCTTGAACTGCTCGACATTTTGCCAGACAATGCACCTTCTGTATCTGATATAGATCACCCGGGCGGTTCGAGTTCCCCTCCGCTATATTTCCCTTCCTCAGACGACGATGACACAGAGTTTGATCAACAGTACACGCCTCCGCCAAGCAGTTCTCCCCTGCCATATCTCCACTCATCATATGACCATAACGTGTCTCTTAGTGACGATGATTGTACTAGTGTCCTATCACTTACCTTTAACTCGGCTACTCGCAATCACACTGCTGATGAAGAATCACGTATTAATGCCTCCGACGAGGAGCTATCGTACACTGAACATCTCGACGATGAGGATCACTGGGTTCCTGAGAATGATCCGCAGTTCCTTCCCAACGATGCACTATTTGATGAAAATACTTTTGTCGACTCAGACGAACCTCATAGTGTTGTACTGCCCGCGTTATCGGAACATCGAGCACTGCTAAATGGCTATGTGCACGTTTTTGCCAATGCTGCATGCAGACGTGCAACACATGCAGATGCAGAAGAGACACTCACCTTGCTCCATTCGACGATCACAAGCTGCTATCCCGGCGGAATTTCTCCTGAGCTTCAGAGTGACTTAGCCAGCATGGCACGAACTCTTCGCACTGTCGAGAAACGTCTGGGCGTCGATACGGAGAAGATTGTTACTACGTACATTCTTTGCCCATCTTGCTGGCAAATGTACCATCCTTCCGAGCTACCAACAATGCAGTCTCAACTGTGCACAGCACCTGGATGCTCCGCAGCGCTATTTCGCCTGAAATGAATGAGTTCAAACGCGCAAAAACGCATCCCATACAAAGTGATGCCTGTGGCGTCCTTTACAGCTGCTCTTGCACGTCTCCTTATGCGTCCTGGTAAATGGGAGGAACTTCAACATTGGCGGAAGGATGGTGACCATGAACCAGCACCACCTATCACACGAGAGGAGTGGTACACCGAGAAGGATGTAAACGAGCCACTCACAGACATATACGACGGGTGGATGTGGAGATCACTCCGTACGGGCATAGTGCGCCAGTGGGACTCGAAGAATCTCAAAGTAAATGACATTGACGTACAAAAACTCAACCAACGGTTCGTGTCCTTGAAATGTGGCCTCGTTGTGCATATTAACATCGATTGGTATGTTTTAAACAAGTCTTAGTTGTCATTTCCTGACATTGCCATCGACGGAACAGGTTCCGTTCACTCAAACGTGCTAATTATTCCACTGGCACGGTTTGGCTGACTATTGACAACCTACCGCGATCGATACGATTTTTGCGGGAGAACACATTTTTACTCTTCGTAATTCCAGGGCCAACGGAACCAAATACAGAGCAGCTCAACAGACTACTTGAACCTTTTGTTCGAGAGATTGAGCAGCTCGCACAAGGTGAATAAATACTCTTGTCTGCTACATAACTCGACTCTGAATACATTTGTCAAGGGGTGCTTTTCAAGGTTTTCGGGCATGACACGATGGAAATGGTGCACGTCGCACTCCCCTTTGGTCCAATGGATACTCCAGCAAGACTCAAGACAGCTGGCTTCGTATCTCAGAACTCCGAGGACCATATGTGCCCATGCTGCGACGCTCCGTTTTGCTCGTTGGTTGATCCTACATGCTTCGATCGTACACGTATGATTTTCTGATGTTTCATGGTGGCATACTGATTTAAAGTTTCTAGAATTCCACTATCGAGACTCCGCAAAGCAACTTAAGTGGAAATTCATTCATGGGCACTCCAATGATCCCGAAGTTCAAGCAAGCATTGCAGAAACCAAGGGTGTCCTCATGTCAATTCTGGATCGCCTTCCAACGTGGAACGGGTCATCAAGCATTCCGACGGAGATCATGCATTTGTTCTGGGGTCCGGGTGAGTTGTTCGTTCAAGGTATTATCTCATAATTCACTCGTTGTACTAGGCACGTCTGGTCAAATACACCGAGTCGTTTTGATAGAAGGATCAATGTTCACTGGGACAGGGAAACGATCCGATGTCACACCAATGGATCGACTTACAGAATTTCTCGAGTCCATATGGTGGCCGAATAACTCAGGACGTTTTCAGATTAAGGTAATATTGTTTTGAACCTTGAAAAGGGGAGTACTGATCTGTACATAAGATTGCGAGCGGGGGCGAACGTCCTAAAGCAGACGAGTGGCGAAATTTCATGCGAGTATACCCTGTCGCAATTTCAGTTGCGTGGCAAATGTGGTCTCGCCATGCTGACGATGAGGCCCCCCCGCCAAAGAAACGCAGCAAGATCCAACAGGCCATTGTGAAATCAAGGAAGCTCTTACACAAACGTCGAATCAAGAATGTGTCTCGCGACGAAGATGCTGAGGCAGAAGATTATTTGGCGCTCGAAGACATTGAACCATCTCGCAACTATCATTCTTACTATGAAAACATCCTGCGATACTGTGCCGCGACCCGAATCTTTGCCTCGCGAGAGATCACACCTCAGGAGGCCACTCGAGCTGAAAATTTCATATCGGAGGCTTTTCAGTCATGGGCACAACTGAATTGTCATCTCACACCAAATTTTCACTTCGCCAGTCATCTAGTCGAGTACATTCATACCTATGGCCCTGCATATGCCTGGTGGGTATTTCCCTACGAGCGCGCGATTGGTGTGTTAGGAAAGGCCAACCACAACGGCCACGGCAGCGGCGAAGTGGAAGGGACCTACATGCGAGCATGGTGGAAGACCATGCTGATTCAAGAACTCGTGGGTTACAGTATTCATCTGCCATTGTTCTCACTGTTTGCTGACTCGAAACCCAGTTGACACATCTGCAGGAACGACGTGATCAAACCGAGCAGGACCAGCTAGCCATTTGTGCGCTACTCAAGGCTGTCAAAGGTGGTGCTGAAGCCGATCGGCAAAGAGGGACCCTTATGAATTATATCGCGCTCCTGTCCAACCCACACAATTCCAGTACGTTTTTATCACCTTGTCCATTACTAGCGATAATTGACCTGACAACAGCGAGGATTGTATTTCCGAAACAATTCAAGTTAATCAGCTTGCGGCCACTGGGTGTCTATGCCATTGTTTTGCAATTCCTACGTCTTCATTTTCCAGAATTCAACTTAACATCAGACGCAGGTGAAGCATCCAATGGTATTCCATTTGACTCACAAGGTGTCCAGTCATATGCGAATGTGACCATCGGCGCTGCAAAGTATGGCTCATTCCATCATCATCGTGGAAAGGGGTTTTGCTATGGCTATACCAAGGGACGACACGCTGCGCGTATCGAGTATATATTGTCAGTCAACATCCCTCGACAAGACCCTCCAATATCTGTCAATGTTGCTCTCATCCGATGCTTTGAACATCACCCACAGGACGCCAACCACCCATGGTCTCTATGGTAAGCCTATCCTTTGTTACCATGTGAACTACAATGACTCAACCACGATATCAGGGCGACCGACCTCGGGATTGCAACCTGGAAGTATAATGTCCTCGGGAGCCTCGAGGCATGTCATCTTGATGATCTTAGTGGTCAATTTGCATTTGCACCAGTTCACGCACCGAGAATTGGTCGCTTATGGGTGACTTTCTCGTTAGACACAGTAAGTGTTTTTTATGTTCTGATTGTACTATTATGTTAATGAGAGCATTTCAGACCTCCCAAGAACCAGATAACAGCAACCCTTAGAGTCCCTCTCGTACCATTAAAGTGCTGCTGTAGTATACATTCCATACCTATGCTATTGTACAAGTGGGATCTATTTACACTGAATCATAACTAATTTCTTCTTGCTCCGAGTCGTCGATGTTGGGATCTGTGGAACTCTCACTATCACCAATGACATGGTCCTCAGTCATTAGAGCCTCTTGCTCGTTACGCTCCTCTAGAGAAAGGGAGTGAAGCCACTTTGTGGAGACGGCCCATCATGGGGTCTTCATCGAATCATGAACCGGCAACGATTTTGCCATCCTTGGTGGGCCTTGCACTCGAGGAATCCGTTTTTTTCATCCAGTGCTTCTTCTGAGCTTCTTTTTTTTCGACATCTTGGTCTACCACACCTCTTATCTCTTTAATGGCCCTCCGGAGCTGTTAAAACACAAATAAGACACGGCGCGAGATCACAGAAGGGTAAACTCACGTCCTTCGACCGCCATACAGGTGGGCATGTCATTAAGATCGTCGTCTTCTTCTTCTTCTTGTATGCTTTTCGGCGTGGATTGAGGAGCGAGACAGCTTCGTCATCACTTGAATTGATGTCGTCGGAGGCATCTGAGCCGCTGTAATCGGTTGATTGCCACTTCGCTGCAAAAATGAAGTCGTATTCCTCGCCTGCCAGTGGTGGGAAGTCAGGACGGACAGCAGATGCTAATGCTGCTTTCTGTATGATGGTTAATATTAAATAGTACATTTGTCAAAAATACGCACATCTAATTGTCGTTTCTCACGTCTGGCACTTTGGACATTGAGCGACTGAACACTGATTGGCTTTTCCGCCTCCTTATACTTCTGCTTCATGTTCTTGAACACCTTGCCCGTCAGAGACTTGAGAGTCTTGCTAGGAAGTTTGTCGACAGTATCTTGAGACAGTGTAGGCTCGTATGTGCACGCATCACGACGAAAGCGTTCAACATAAGCTCCGTGCCACTTCACATTCGCTGTCCACGACAATTCCCACTTTGGTCGTAAAACTTTAGTTGACGAGATCTCGTTGTCGATGGTGAGTTCATCAATGTCGGCCCAAAATTCATTCGCATTATCAACTGGTGCTGGCAGGGCTTCATTGGTCTCGATACCCATCATTTTCTGCAATACCTGTCGGATAGCACTCTACAGATGATAATTTAGACTTTGATCAAACAAACAGCAACAAAATACGAACGTTCATTGAATTGTCAGTGCGAGACGGTGCAGATTGCGGGTCTCGAACCTCGAGAGCCTCGAGACGGCGGATGATAGCCTCGACTTGCATATCAATTCGATTTGTAACCACGCTATGATCTTGGGAAATTCAAGACTGTTCTTTGCGGAGCTGGAGTATTTCGCCTTGCATGTTCTGAAGCATGCTATGCTGTCGGCCGGATTCCAACTGGGAGCGAGAGTGAGCTGATACTTTATTTTTGCTGCTTCCTCCAATGGACTTGTGTGTTAGGAGTCCAGAGTCAAGTTGTGCATCGTCGCTATCATCTTGTGGGATGGGAGGGATGTTTCTCGCTTGTGGCAACTTGGAGTGACTTGATAACGCGATTGTGTTCTTTGAGAACGCGAGTGGCTGCATGGCGTTGCCGACTGGTTTTGGTTTTGGACGTGGCCGGTTAACATTGGGCTTATGGACAAGAAACGAGCGAGTGGGAGTCAAAGAAGCTTGGGGCTCAAGAACGACCTGTTTCTTAGATGCGATGGAACTGCGAGAGGGCTGTGGATTAGGTTGAGGAGGATGCATCGACCGTGGTACTGCAGTCGAGGGACGTTCTGGAAGATTGGATCGTGGAGGTACAGTTGGACGAATTGACAATGGTGCAGTTGGACGGATTGACAATGGTGCAGAGGAACGAATTGATGATGGTGCAGAGGAACGAATTGACGATGGTGCAGTAGAACAGATTGACGACGGTACAGAGGGACGAACTAATGGTGGTGTAGCAATTTCAGCAGGGACTTTTAATTTTGAGGGAATTGAATCCTCAAAAATCCGATCAGATTTAGTAAAAAATTGACGCTGTAACCAAGGTCGCACATACTTTGAAGTCTTTTGATTCGATGGACAAATCTTCTTGGATGCTGGAAGGAATGGGGACTGAAAACGTCGAGTTGGAGGGTGCCCCGCACGTCCATGAGTACCCGTCAATGTGGGCATGTTCACATCATGGTCCTCCTGCTCAGAGTGAAGTGAATCAAGCTTGCGCTTCTTCGACGTAGGATCATGAGCATCGTCAAGGAGTGTAGGATCTATGGCGAAGTACGGAAGCTGCGAAGTCTCAAGTTCGGGAGTGTATTCCATTGGTGGTGTACTGCAGCCACCTTCAGCAGCAGATGACGATGCCTCTGCAGACGTGGTATTCGCAGACTCAGCACCTGTTGCACCGAAAACAAACTGTGAATCCTCGTAGTAAGGCACTGGGTTAAATTGTCGCACTTTTAAATGATACGTTGCATTAGCTAGCATATACATTGATCGAGAATATGACTTACTGATCAAGCGCTGGTATGATTGACTGGCGGCACACTCGTACACGCGCAAGTCAGCTGGTGGCCGGGGGTGGCCTACGTCCAGCACACTGAATAATCACGTATAATGTTAACTACAAGATTTGATCAGCTTCCGATAGTTTCAGTAGAATTACTTACCTTTGAGCTTGGATGTATGCAGTCGTACTACGCTTGAGGCTGTGTCACAAGGTAAGTTGTTCAGAGCAAGGTGCGCGGAGTTTCAATTCACCTTGTTCCTTACCCCTTCGACAACAATCTCAACGACGGCGAACCGTCCCAAACCCCAAACCGATAATGATATTTTCAACAGGTATGTACCTAATTTTCATGCTAGCGGGGGTTAATGCTAGCACTACAGGAGGATTTTGGGTTGCGCAGTGGGCATGTGTATTAGCTAGGGGTGCGTCTAGGACTATAGCAACTCGTTAATGTTGTGCTGTGTATGCATCAGGGAAAACCTCCCGTGTAAACTTAGAGCTTTTTATTGAAATTTCGATAGTTGTGAAAATTAGTGGCAGCTAGATCTAGGAATGATAGTCTAGCGCAAACTAAAGATATTTATTGATAACTAGTGCAATGTCACAAAACCATGTCGATCCAAGTATGTATTTACATAAAATGATGAACACTCGCCGAGAACGTTAGCAGAAGTCCACTCGCGAGGAGCTATAGGGCCGAAACATGGAATCAAATGGGAACTACAATGAATGTCGCTGATTGGTATAATGCTGGCCATTCATTCTCCGTTTTAATGATTCGCGAGACCTTGTGCAAGCCGTGGTTTTGGTCAGGTATGTGGAAGGCAGAGAACCATTCGACATATGCGAGTTGAGCGGATTAGGGGAGATGGCGGTAAATATTGAGAACACCAGATAGGACGAGCTTGAGCGGTGTGCCCTTGCCTCGAGTAGGCATTTGAGTGTGATATGCAGAAGGGTTCGGTTAACTGAAGACTGAGCGCAGGAGGGAGGGGGGGGTATATACCTGTGACCTGTAGGTTCGCCATCGTCAAAAACGCTTGTTCAACATTTGTCGCATTCTTTGCTTACGTTGTCGATTCTTCAATACATGGATGGGCCAGAAGACTGGGTGCTTTGCGGAGGATCTGGAAATGGTAACCAGCCGTTGAGAGTCGTCAATGTTCGCTAGCACAATGGTGATGACGGCATACGAGCAAGTGGCGTCACCAATCAACCATGGGAAATGGGCCGAAAAATACGGGGTTTCCTGTCAGAACTGATTTGCAGCGGGGGAAGCAAATATGAGACTCGTTGAGAACATCTGCGTGCCCACTGAGAAAGATGACCTCCGCCAAGTACAGTAGTTAAATGCGCCAAACATAGATGGTGGTAATGGAGAGGAGACGACTTGCATCCGATTAGCACGCCACATTGGAAGGTCCGGCTGCCGAACATAAACTCACCAAATAACAAGCTAAGCTGGACAGGGAAAGGGCCAACCCTGGCTCAGCATTATGGTATAATAAGCGGTCTGTTTGAAATTGAATACCTGACTAACTTAAACCAAACCACTCACTCACCTCTTTGAAGCCGTCTTTCCAGTGTAGCAGGACGGCACTCTCACATTCGTTTTTTTCACTCCTTCTAGCTTTGTTTTGCCTTCAATGGAGTCGCATTCACGGCGTAAGGATTTTTTACATAACAACAAGTTCAAAAACTCACTTGGTGCAAGCATGACGCAAAGCCAAAGATCAGGCTCTCTGGAAATTGGAGGTAGAGAGCGCGTGAAATCTTAAAGGTAGGTGTGTCTCAGACTCTGCAAAGAACTGAATTAACGGAACGTCTGCCTTAAAGGTACATGTCTACGTTTTGCGGGCTCGCGAAACTATATACTGTGAGTCTGTCTTATCTTTCATATTTCTTTGAAACCTCTCTATCTTTTAGCATCGGGCCCGACGTCACATCTTCGTCGTACCTGGCCCGTTGCCATTTGCGCTCGCATCTGCTGTTCATCCTCACGTGCCTCTCCGTTGGCACTCTCGATCATCCTCACGCTGTCGGATTCCAACAGGCTCTTCCAGTAAGTCTGCATCTGAGTTGTTGTGCACGTTGCTGACCTAGCATTGCTTTCAGGCGCTTCCATCGTGACATACTAACTGGAGCCTATGACCAAGATGCTGACCTAGCACTCTTGGACCTTGATGGCATGGACGACGAGTAGAATACCTCACAAATATTGATACCACTCGCTATGTCTCTATCTCACCACTCGCTATGTCTCTATCTCACCACTCGCTACACCCCGCACTCGCTACATCTCATCACTCGCTACATTTTGCCTCGTTTTTGTTTTGCCCGTATGAGTCGTACACTACCGCATTAGCCTGATACCCGATTTTAATCCTATTTTAATTTTTTTTCGTGTACTCAAGGTGTGAAATCCTCGTATTAAAATTTCCTAGTTGTCTACTAGGACACATCAAATTGTACTAAATGGCAGAAAGGTGTGGCTAATTGTTCTAAATGGCAAACGGTATGGCTAATTAAAAATCAGCAATAAAGTCTAGCTAGGGTGCTTAGCCCACCTAATACATTTAATTTGGATTAGTTGCACGAAATAGATCTAATCTAAGCAGTTTTGTCTAAGTTGATGCGGGAGGGTTTTCCTGATGTGTACACCTGCGCTGACACACTATGATCTTGCTTCCTCCTGGATGCTCCTGCAGCGCCTCCCAGTACCCTCTGGATAACACACGATCATCCACAACATCGTGTCCCGCCTCCTTGAACATCCGCGTAGGTACATGGTGCGCCTGCGAGATGCAGACCCTCTGCACTGTGACTAATAGCATCACTCTGTAAGTCCTAAAACTGCACGTGCGATCATGTGTGTCGTTCATTTGCTGATTCACTCGCAAGGTCAACTTCTACAGTCCACCCTTGTTTGCATGTTTGTGTGTGTGTTCGTCCTGCACTCATTCACATTCATTTGGTGCAGTCTAGGTGCGCCTTTTTCGTTTATATATGTATGTACATCACTGACAAGGATCTTCACTCATTTCTGTTTGCTTGTGCGTGCACATCAATGCTTGTCTTGATGTGTCTGCGTCTGGCGTCTTGAACGATAGGTACCGCTTTTTCACGTTTATTTAGGCTATAACTGATCATTTGTTTATGCTTCCCGCTTGTCTGCTAATGTTTGTGCTTGCCTGCACTGGTCTGCACCCCGCCTCTGCACTTGTCTCTGCTTGTCTTTGGGCTTTTACTCGCATTTGGTTGTTTCCGCATGCCACCACTCGTCTGTGCTCGCTCGCACACATCTGCACCTGCTGCTTCTCGCTGCCCTCTTCCTCCAAGGCTCGTGGTTTCGTTGCTACCTTGTCTGTTAGCAACTCAAGTACTCCTCACGCCTCGACTCTGCGCCTCGAGAATCAGACAAACACGGCTATTTCACTCCAGTGGCACAGCACTTCAGGAAGCCTCGCATGCTGCTATAGAGACAAAAGACGATGAGGACGATTTGCAGGATGCCCTTCGGCGGAAACGAAAGACGGAGTGGAAGCGAAGACAAGGGGTAAGCTACACTTCTAGGTATACGCGTACTACCTGGTAATAACATCGCGCAGGGTCAATCCTTCCTCGACAATCCCACAATCAACGTTCGAGGAGGTGTGTACTTGTCTGAAATTCACTCAAGCATACTTAATACCATGCAGGCAATGGAGGTGACGGATGCGTTGCTTTCCACCGAGAAACGATGCACCGCTACCTGCAACCCCATCCGAGTCTGGCATCCCCTATCACCTTCTAAGCCCATGTTTAGTGTCCATCGCCTGCTATCGCCGCTTCGCTTATTGTCAAGCGCTTCTGGAGTTCAGTATATATGAATATGGGCTACGTAGCAGCATGTATTATAATGTCTGCTATAGCTGATAATGCGCGGCTGTATTCGCTGCAATATATATAACGAATTTTGCTCATTAATTGTCTGATCCGGAATATCATATAATATAATATATTTATATATATATAATGGATATAGGTGGTTTATTATGTATATACAGTATCGTTCTGGACCCATGGTAGTAGCTGGCTTTGAGCTGACTGGAACTTGATGGCCAAACCATGTCTTCGATGTGGATCCGATGTGATAAATCAACCGTCTCGAAGCCGGTTTATACCATAGGTCCAGAAATGGCTAAAACTTGACCCTAGGGTCACATTCCAGCCAAGTATCTACCGTCGAAAATTTTTGATAACACGCAGCAAACACGCAGTGAGGGCACGCGTCGCAACCTTGGAGGGTTACAACAAGTCAATCGCGTGGACGCCCGATGGCACACGCCTTCTTTCTGCTCGCAATGACGCCATATACGAGTGGGATACATCAACCTGGGAGAAGGTCGGCGATCCCTGGAAGAGCAATACTAAAAGCCTCATCAATGCCATCGCCGTCAATCCTGCTGGCACGCTCGTCGCTTCCGCATATGGAGACAGCCGTGTTCGTCTCTGGCGATTCTCAGATCGACAAAGCTTTGCCGTCTTCAAACACTCATCCTCACAGAGGTGTATCACATTCTCCGCGGATGGCAAGCACATCCTCAGTGGAGGTGAAGATAATCAGATCTCAGAGTGGGAAGTACGCAAGGGTATTTATTCCAACGTGAGTTTCCATCCTTGACTCGTGTCACGCAATTTGAGCATGCTTCATGCAGATCCTCGCTACTTATACGGAAGCTCATGATTCATGCTTAACTGGAGAGTTGTCTACCGCTGAACAACTACTTACGAAAGAGATCGACACCGACGACGATAACTATACCTCCTATGCCAATCGCTCATTTGTTATGGCGCGAAAACAAGATTGGGACCGCGCCCTTGAGGATGCAATCAAGGTCAGTCATACCGTCCAATCATGGCCCTCTTATAAAGGCTAACTTTCATCCGTAACATAGTCCATCAGCATTGAGCCTTCATTGACAGGCTACATCTCCAAGGGCATTGCCCTCTGCGGAAAAGGCAATATCAGGGACGCGAGAGTAGCATTTGACGTCGCATTCATGTTCACAAACCAAGATTTACAAACCATCCATTTTCTTCTCTTGATCAAGGTAGATTAAGTTCGTCTCATATGCTCTCTGCTTCATTATGTATTTCAGGCCATTGCCCTCTTCAATGCAGATCAACATGACGAGGCAATGCTGCTCATCACAGAGCTAGCTACTGCCTGTCAAACTCTCGCGCAGCGTGTCGTGGAAGTAAGTATCATGCGCCTAGACTCGGTTATCGATACTGATCTTTGCAACTCGCACATCAGGCATATCTACGCGTTCAGCTCGGAACCAAGGCCTTGAATGGTGCGCATTATGATGAAGCCATTGACCACTTCACCGCCGCTGTCAACTCCAGTGCTTTCCCATCAAAAAGCATCCATGAACTATACGAGGACTTGACAATGGTACGTTGACATCACGCGTCCAAAAAATCTCTCATAACGGAGTGCTTCATTCAGCTCTTTGGCTGGGATCTCGAGTCGTTCTGGCTCACTACACACCAGAAACGTTGTCAGGCTTTCCTTTCCGCACGTAAAGTCGAAGAAGCCCTTGAATCACACCAACACATGATGGACGCCATCAACGATACTGAGAAAGCCAGCTGCCTTGATTGGTCCAATGGCAAGTTTTCAGTGGTGTCACTCGAGGCTATCACACTCACCCGCAGTTCACTCAGACTTCAAGGAACAATGTGCGCTCGCTGCTCATGACGACCGTATTCTTGGCGTATGTACCTCCTTCCTCAATATTTTCGCTACTAACCTATGTTATGCAGGCGGAGATTCCGGGGCAGCATCAAGATGGCTATGATGCAGAACCTGATTTCTTCCGGGGAATGGATGGTGTGGGTGCATCAGCGTATCCTTCATCTCTCTCTCTCATGTCATTCATTACAGCATTTTCAGATTTCCAGACCACAACCTCAGCAGCGCCCAGGGCACTTCAAGAAACTCAGGCTCGCTATGACAAGGAGTCCTCGTCCAGTTCCTCCACCTCCACCTGCACTACCCACCGCCCTACCACCTGCCGCTGCTCCCACCACCTTCACAGCCCGCGTACGATACCTATTTACCTGGCGACCCGATCATGCAGCACAACCCGTCGTCGATGTTCCTTTTGCACAGGGTCGAAAGGTGCGCTCGATCTGTCTTCATCACTGTCTTGGGTATCTCATGTAAATATCTACAGCGTAATGCTGCAGCAGGTGCTCCTGCTGATGACGATACAGATATTATACATGCTGAATATTTCGATGATGGTCCACCGGACCCCAATACACAACAACCCAACACACAACAGCAACGACAACCAGTCGTAATACAGGCAGACACTGGGAGACATGGAGGTGGCAAATCGTGTTTCTGCTGCTAGCACCTTTCTTGGATGTCCTCGGATATTTTAGTTTTGTCCTTGCTCTTGTTTGTTGCGATATCTACGTTGACTCGAAGGAAATTTTATTACCATATCCATCAGATCTCTTCTCGTCCCTATTCATAATCAACGATGTCCTCCCTATGGAAAGCTTAGCGTGTGCAGCCCTATGATGAAAACACTGTGCGAGTCCGTAGACGCCTTGGACTACACCAAACGATTGATGAATTAGAGAACGCCGACCTTTGGTACATTACTACACAGACGGTGCGTCCTATACTACTCATTGTCAGCTGCTGGTGCATGACGACAGGCATTATTTCGTGTCCCCGAATCGTCCAGTTAGATCTGGAATATTTCAGCTGGAAGGACGATGGAAAGTATTTGCGTTTACACACCGGACATTTTGCCGAACGCTGGTACAACCCGCGTCCTATTCTAGTCTAACGTAACGGAATTCAATTTTCGCGAATTCCGTAACCTGCTCACATATGCATATGGGCGTTATGCGTTCCTCTAGCTGGAATCTACCTTTTTACAAAGGGCTTCCTTTTCATCCCAGAAGCACATGTAGCTCAGATACATGTGCCTCACTTGCTACACACAAAAGAGCAGTCTTCTCGTTATAGACGCGCTCCTATTCGAACTAATCGCAGAACACCTGCCAGAGCCAGCCTCCCCGTTCCATCACAACATTCTGACCCTGCCACGCGAATTGACTGCCGCTCGTCACTCTTTCATATTAGCCAATCGAGTGAGGCGTCTCCAGCACCAGAAAAACTGAAGACACCGTGCTAGGCTTCGCTAACGCGTTCGGTTCTCCATACCTCACTTTCTAGCTCATCTTTTTGAGTATCGTCTGGTTGGTGACCCAGTTCTCAGGCTAGCTCATCCTCGGACTCTCATCCATCGCGTTACTATCATATCTAGAAATTATTGACAGCGTCTGGGACGTCCACGGCTTAAACGCGGCCTTCGCTACCCCCCATCTCCTCAAACCCTCACTAACATTTACCTCGCCAACAATAACATAAACTGAGACCTCTTACTCTTAGAAATCGTACCCCTAGCGCCTAGGTGTTTGGGTGCTGTTTTTGAGCTTGGTGTGATTGATTTCGGTGTATTGGTTGGGGTGGGTGTTGGTGTTGGTGTTGGGAGGGCTTTCGGGAGGGTTGGGTGAGGTCACGTCCGTGAAGTTATAACCACTGCAAGGGCGTTGGTACTTAGCGGAAGATCTGAACGTGTTCGAAATATGGCTGCCAAGCACACACGTGCTGCAACTGCATCGATCACGTTGCTTTGACGTATTTAAACTCAAGTTTGTGAGGTTGGACAATGAAGTACCTGTGAGCGTGTAAGCTTGCTGCCTTCCAGGGGGAGAACAATGGTATTCTCATAAACATTCTATACCTAATAGTCACCTCAGTGCCTGATGCGGCGGCCATGACGGCGAACGGACACCGTACTTATTGTCCGTCTAATAAAAGAGCGCTCAATCATTACGTCGTATCCCCGTACCTGTCGCTCATTTTCAATATCAGCGTCGCGGTCATCCTGATAATTGATTCCTCGGTGCTTCATCCTATCGTTCAACAAGGACCCGCAACGCGATGTCATCATCATCAACAACTCCGTCGGCATGTTCCGAGCCGCACACAGTGAGCGTCCAGCTCCCCGACCTCCTCTCTTCATGCACGCCCTTTGAACTACGCGCAAATCGGCATTGTAGGTCCGTGTCTCAAGCGAGCGAGGCATGGTTGCGCGATGCAGGATTAAACTTGGGGCTCGAGTGGAAAGCGATCAAGGTTGGGTTGTGGGCCGCGTTGTGTTATCCGGGAGCGGACTTGACTCAGTTGAGGTTGGCGGTAGATTTTTTGAGCTTGTTGGTGTTTGAGCAGGAGCGGGAACGGGACCATGATGGGATTGGTTGCAGTGATGGTGATGAGAATGAAGTTTTTGATCTGTGAGTTCGAAATGTCTCTGGTGTTTGATTTGGCTGACACGACGCGCTTGAAGGATATCCGACCGACTCAGTCGCGTCGCATACAAAAGTCCGGCATGGTACATGCGTTTTCACCGATCCATGCGCGCATATCGCGATGCAAGGCGGCGTTTAAATTCGCTCGATTCGACATGCATCCCAGATCTCGAGACTTATGTCGACCTTCGAAGAAACGCATCAGGTCTGAGGATGGTGTTTCACTTGATCGAATATGCAGGGGGATTAAACCTCCCTGAACGAGCATCCTCGCATCCTATATTGAATAAGTTGACAGACCAGGCCTGTGATCTTATAGCGTGGTCTGAGGTACGTTTTTTTCGCGTGCTTTGCATCAGACTATACCATGACGTCCATTCTATCCATCTAGGATGCTGTTTCATGCGC